TTTCCAAAAACACACTGTTTCATGAAAATTGCGATGCTACTTTCTGACAGGATGAATAGAGAGGAGAAACAATTTCTTTGATAATAGTGATTTATAATTATTTCTTATCTATCGAAACGTGAATCAATCATCCTTGACGATTACAGTAGCAAACAATACTGCGACTGTATAATGGATTACGTTATTTTACATAATGAGATTTCGTTGAGCTGTCGAAACCATTACAACCCCGCCCAGATCGATCAAATCCCAGAAAAATATTACTCGACAACCATTTCCTCCCTGTCACATCGATGTCGTTCATTTATTTCCTCTTTTTCTATTTTCGTTTCTTTAGTTGTTTCAACTGTTTCAAGACTGAATTTTTTTCTTTAGTTTGTCAGAGAAATTGCTGTTTCTGATATCTTTATATTGATTTCATTTCATTACTTTATGATGGAAAATTACTTTTCGAGGGAAAACTTCTACCTTTACATCCAAATTAGATGTAGATCGTAGAAGAAAGTGAAAATTCGACGAATGCCAATCTGTTTCGAAAGGAAGGGAAGCACAATCAACGCGCGAATTAATTCTCCGTGATTGCGCGATACGAAATAAAATGTTTCATTGTAAATTGCCGGCGTTATGTTGCCTGCACCGCATTTAGAGCGTGCACTGGTGAAATAACTTCACTCCTCGTTGACGGCTTTCATGAAATGTTCGTTTCGACTCTTCATTCGTGTCCTTTCAAGTTTTAAATTAATTATTTTTACTCCAATATTTACCATAAATATCCACTATTTAAAGTCAGTATTAAATCTAAGAATTATTATTATTAGCATTGTCATAAATATTACGTATTAAAATTGTTATTATTTGTTCAATTCAGTCTATGGTAACTATGGAAATTATTTTCTACAAGCAGAAAGTTTTCCACTTTTATAATTTTATGAATCTAGGAGGAGAATAATTTATCTGTGCGTACAAGGTGTCTGTACAAAGTTTTACAAATTTTTTTTAAAACTACTATAAGCTTTGATTTCTTTTCTTTTTTCAAATTGAATAGATACTGATATTGAATTGATGTAGATTCTCTTAATTAAGAATTAAAATTTTTGAAAACGGAATAACCTATTAATTTCTGGAAATTTGGGTAATTATCGTAGCGTAATTTATTTAAAATATTTTATATTTTTATAATAGTTTAAGAGTTGTAGCAAAGCAAATGTCTTGATACACTTTCGGATGATTATCCATCCTAACATATTTATTTGAAATAGATTTATTTTCTCATAGATTTTTAGAATTACGATAGAGAATATCTAGAAGAATTCATAATAATACAAAAAAAAAAAATTATCAAGATAAATGTACATGTTTGAAGTTCATTTTGTTAAACGTAAGAAACTCTATCTTTTCAAACAATTTAAATTTCTATTACATTCTTTCTTGACACTCTTTGTGGAACTATTTTATGCATTCCATTCACACGACTTATCAATTGTAATACGAACAGCGTGTGCATAATATTTAGCTTTAAAATACATTCTAAGAAACTTTCTTACGCTCCAATTGAGATTAAACATCTGTTCGATATCTTTCCTTTAATCGCAAACCCTTCTCGTTTACATCCGTTGCAAAACTTCGTAATTCTTAGAAATATTAGTGAAATTAATTGGAAGTTTCTTTTTTTCAACAATCACCTTTTACTCTGAATTATTTCTTGACTTTTTCATCATTTCTAAATCATATAGAATAAAAAGAATGATTTCAAATAAATGCAGGATCGATAATAACTTTCGAAATATTAACGAAAAAAATTTAATAAATAAATGTCCAGAAATATTTATTTGTCCTTCTGAATTATTTAATTTAAAAAGGACCGAATTCATGGTTTTTGAAGAAAATAGTTAGCGCTATAAGCCGTACCATGTAGATACGTAACCGGAAGTGTGTTTACGAAGCTGCGAGCCTTATCTGGCTTCGTGTCGAGAACGATCGCGCCGATATTACAGTTAATACGCGACTACAATCGTTTCTCATCGGTTTCTTATTTTGCGTGACAAGAGGATTATCCGCGAACCATTCGAAATCAGAAGTAAATCTCGCGAGAACGTTTAAACGTTATTCCCATTTCAAGGTGGAAGCATCTCCACTTATCACAACTTTTCAAGTTGGAAGTATTTCCACTTATCACAACTTTTTGAACAAAATTTGAATAAAAAACAGAAATCACATCATTGGATTAAAAAAAAAAAAAAAAAAAAAATTGCAGAATATTTATCCAAAATGTCATACAGAAAAATGGAAGGATTCCTTTTTGTTTCGAAGGGAAATTTATTATAAATTGAAAAAGAATAAATATGGTACTGAAAGAAAGAAGATTACTTATCCAGAACATTCAGAGAATTTAATATATCGCGATGGAAAAATCCGAGACCGATGTCAAATATCGTGGCCTGGTTTCGGGGTCAAACCGCATGGCCAATTTATTTGGCTATTCGAAAAATTAGAATACGTAAAGGATTGGCTCGCCGAGCAGATTTACGTAACACGTTCGTGTTTATCGTGTAAAATTGTAATATCTGTAATACGATCGTAGTCACGTTAATATGCATTATACAGAAGAATTGTATTATTAACACACGTATATCAGAAGATCTCGAGGAAATCTTGGCGTTATTCACGGTGATAGAAGCATTCGTTTCATTAAAAAACAACCACCTACCATAATATCACAACGATGAATTATCGTTATCCCGCACGCGAATGAATGTGTGCTGAATTATATTATCTTGGCGTATAATTTGACGACTCGTTTAATTAGACAGTTTACTTAACGCTGGAACTACCGACGAGTAGTTTCCAAAGTATAAAATTTATGTGATAAGAATGAAAGTGTAAAAAAAAATGGGAATAACGAGCAGAATCTTTCTGAAAAATTCGTAAATCGACAAAATTCGTTGCAAATCGACAAAATTTCCATGAAAAATTACGAATGTTGATTAATTTGATAATTGCAATCAGAAGTGAAACTATATAAATTCAAATTGAAATTGTTTAATGACGAACAAAATGGCAAGCCAATCAATGTTTTACGATGTATATATACATTTACATGCATGAAGCATGAAAACAGAATAATCTATCTCGTTACTCTGACCATTTTCCAAATTTAATTTTCCAGTTCAATACCTTTCAATTTGTTCGGTATCTTTTATGGTACTTTTTATATGCCACGAATATTCCACACATACGTGTGCTGTAATAGTTATTAAAATTGAAATTTTCGTTGTGCCGTCAATAATATTTTTCAATTTATTATTTGAAAAGGAAATACCTTGCGACACGAGTGTGCAATATTTATTATAACGGGTGTATACAGAAAAAATTTGTGCTACATTATCGAGCTCGGTATTATTGTACAAGAAAATTTATTAATATTAATAATCTGTATAATTGTGGAATAATTGTACTGCTGACGTTTATGCAAATTTATATTTTCCCCCGAACACAATTAAGTGAACTTTCGACTTGCAGTATTAAAAGCATAATGAGATGGTAGAAAGTTACGTGAATATTCAGATAATGATAAAAATTATACCAACGAGTGATAAAATTATTATTGCCCGAAAGTAATATTTTTCAATCTAAGATAATTTATTGAAATAAATTTCAACATGACTAAAATACGATAATAATGTACTTTCTTCTCGTATTGAGTATTGAATGATGATGATTATCTATATGTAAGTCCAAAAATGTAAAAATACATTCTACTTTATATTTAATATTTTCTTAATATTTATTATGCAATATTAATACTAATTAATTGATTAATTGTAATATTCTTCTTTCTCTCCAGATTTAATAATCTTTTGTCCTTTTTCTCGCTTGTATATAGATCTGTAAGAACACAAACAAATTACGGAAAATATCTTCCATTATTTTCATTCTAAAAGATCCTCCTAACATGGTAAATTTTCCCATTAAATCTACCGTCACCGTCATAACGCGCAGGAGAAGTTCACAGACGAATGGATCGACATCCCGTCATCCTCAATCGTCTTTTATTACCCTCCGTCGTTCATCTGTTCCATTTTCGATCGACGATGCTCAGCCAAGGATCTTCGCGGCGTCGTTTTCGCTAGTGATTACCTCCGCCAGAACACGTTTCTCTTCGGCAAGACCAAGTCCGTGTGTGATTTTTGCTATCATGATTTTCGCATGGTCGACCACCTCCGAGCATCGGCTGGATGATCGTTAAATCACCGTGTTAAATGTTATTGCAACACGCGTCAAACAAAATTCACGAACGGCCAGCAAGAAAATCCCCCACGCACAAATGATCCACGAGCCTCACGTTGAAAACCATCCCCCGATGTTTCCGTTTTGCGAACGATTTTAGTTGGCCTGAACCTTCCGATCAACCTCTGGCCGCTCATACGCGAATGGACGAGAGAGAGAATTATCCCAGAAAGGAAAAAAAGAAAAAAATTCCTTACCTATGATCGTGAAACGTGATCTCGATGTCTGCGCGGCGATGTCCTCTTCGGGTTGAGATGATTCGACTGATTGAACGTAGTAGGTTCGTTGGTGGCCGTCTTTGATGGTAACTGGAGTAATATCCCTGGAATTTCAATCAGGTTTTTCTTTAATATATTCACGAGTGAATATTTATATATATTTTATTATTTATATAAATCTGAGAGATAAAAGATTTTTATTCTGTACATAATTAAATAATTAAAGTTATAAAATATTCCGTTCGTGAAGAGTACGAGAAAAATTGAACTAGGTATGCACGAACTATTTAATAATGCCTATTGAAATAATAATTTTCATTCCCAATGGTGAAGAGAAGAACAAACGTACGTATAAAGCGTAAATTAAAGAAATTGAAAGACTTCGAGATTAGTTTTCTTTTACAACAGACGATTAAACGTGGAAAATATAAATTAATAAGTCTTATAAGATCTTCTTCGACGATAAATCATTGATTGATTCTCGTTTGATTTCAGAAACATCCAGGATATCATCCAGAGGGAAAGGATCGGTGTACAGCAAAGGCGGCGGTAGTAGGACACTGTCCAAGCGATTTCTAAACGGCAACATCATCACTTTCGATCGGTCTAATCGTTCGTTACGAACCACTTGTGAGTTAACAACACCAACCTTGTACTCAGGCTTTCTTAGGGGCACAAGCAACGGACAGGCAGCGTGTATGATCATTGAAGAATATCCCCCTCTGCCCACCAAACCGAGGCAATATTTGCATCAAGATACCACCCAACGATTTCTGAATCATCTAGTCCTGCCTAAGCACAGGACCTCAAAATTTTCCAGGTTAATATTTCGGCTAATAATTTCAACTAACCGCTTACCTGTTGTCACTGAGAATCATAACAATTCAGAGTCAAATTACTTGGTCTTGGAGTTTCCAATTTAATTGAATTTTTATCTTAATATAAGGCAATTGTATTTCGTTGTAAAGATGAAGTTTTGAACCGATTGTAATTTTTAGTAATAGGCATCGAAAGCTACAGCCGTTCAGAGAAACGTGACTGGTGTCAGCGGGTAGTGCGGCACTCGTTACCGCAGACAACGAAAATCACCCTGACTCGACACGTAACGAGCTACCATCGGGTAGCCATTGCCTGGCAACGTCGCTGCACAGCAATCAAACTGCCGCTGGGAAACGTGGAAAGTAGATCCAGAAGGACGCGGACGAAGACGTTACCTACTTGAACGAGAGGGAGAGCGAGAGCGGCGAAGAGACCTAGGGAGAACGAGAGTGTGACCGATCGAAAGAAGCTTGATAGCTTTCGATAGTTCCAACCGCTCGTATCACCATTTGCCAGCAACGCGTTTTCACAACGACGTCTCGTCAGAAATTGCTGTTGTCGCTCGGAAGGGACATTAATTTAGCGAGGAGCAAAAGGCGGAAACATCGTCAATCACCATGGGAAGTGTTAACGTAAATCGTAACGTCAGCGATGCGTTTTACCGCTATAAGATGCCGCGGATCCAAGCCAAAGTAGAAGGTAAGGGGAACGGCATTAAAACCGTGATCGTGAACATGGTTGACGTCGCTAAAGCGATTGGAAGACCTGCCACGTATCCTACCAAATACTTTGGCTGCGAGCTCGGTGCGCAAACCCAATTCGATTTCAAAAACGAGAGATTCATTGTAAACGGTTCGCACGATGCAACGAAACTGCAAGATCTTTTAGATGGGTTTATTCGTAAATATGTACTGTGTCCGGCTTGCGATAACCCCGAGACTGAGCTAATGGTTAGCTCAAAGAAAGGAACCATCTCGCAAGGATGCAAAGCGTGCGGTTACCATGGATTACTGGAAAGCAATCATAAATTGAACACCTACATCTTGAAGAATCCACCGAGCTTGAATCCAGCTGTACAAGGTAGTTCTTTAACTGAAGGTAAACGCGGGAAACGTTCGAAACGTGCGAATGGTGAAACAACCACCACTACGACCACCGCTACCGCTAATGGTGATCGATCTGGTTCTCCGGAAAACGATAACAACACCAACGACATCGTAGTCGAGGCTCCTGAAAAGATGGCGGACGAGGACGGAGATGATGATAATTGGGCAGTTGATGTGTCAGAGGAGGCGGTCAGAGCTCGTCTACAAGACTTAACGGATGGAGCAAAAGGAATGACTATCAGCGATGATCTCGATAAGACTGAGAAAGAGAGGATGGATATGTTTTATAAGTTAGTCAAATGTCGTCGAGATGCCGGGCAATTGGACAACCATAAAGAATTGATCACAGAAGCTGAGCGTCTAGAAATCAAGACGAAAGCCCCATTGATTTTGGCCGAACTACTCTTCGATCAGAATATTGCTGCTCAAGCCAAAAAGTATCGTGTACTTCTCCTTCGTTTTACCCACGATGATATCAAGGCACAGAAATATTTAATTAGAGGAATCGAGCAAGTGATAGCCCTCCATAAAGATGCTTTGATGCCGAAAGTACCTGGCATTCTAAAGGTAAAGCGAATTACTAGTAATTGTTTGGTAATTATCATCAGTATACGTTTTAACTGATTTTGTTTATTGTCTTAGCTCTTTTACGATGCTGATATTCTGGAAGAAAAAGCTTTGTTCGAATGGTCTAATAAAGTGACTAAAAAATATGTATCAAAAGATTTATCCCAAGAAATTCACGATAAAGCTGCACCGTTTTTAACCTGGTTACAAGAAGCAGAAGAAGAGGATTCTGAACCAGAAGAGGAAGACGACGATTTGGAGGTAAATGTTCGCATTTTAAAAATAAGTTTGTGTGATTTCAAACTACAAATTATACGTTTGCCGTTTGTTATAGATTGAATACGATGATAGAGCCAAACAATCGCTAAAACCACAACAATCACCGCCTGTGCAACAGAAACCTGCTGTAGTTAATGAAGATTCAGATGACGAAGATGATTTTGATATTGATGCCATTTAAACAAAAAAAAGATGAAAAGATGCTCAGTAGTCGGACATAAGAATAGAAGAAAGATGATAGAAAAAAAAAAAGATATGTCCGATAAACGATGACTAACGATCATTTTCTCACACGATACAAAGAGTCGCAATGCAATCTCTTATTATAACATAGCATTTTGTTATTTTAGGCCAAGGAGTGATTATAAATGCCATTACATGTATGGGAAATTTTAACTGTTCTCAAGTTAGCAATATTTATCTGTACGGTAATACTTTTAATTGTTTTTAATAAGGCGATTACGAATTACCTATATCATTATTCCTAATTAATTATTGAGAGATTTAAAAAAAAAAAAATGAAGACGAATGATGCTTCTATACATTGATATACGCATCTCTTTTAGAAGAAAAAAAAATATTGATAGTTCTCTGCCGTTAATGGGAAGTTGGCCTGCTAAAAGCGTTCTCTATTGTATCTATTTACTATTCAAATAAATATGGTTTATCGCAATGTATCGAACTTGTTCTTTTCATTTTCAAAGCATTTCCTTAGTTTAAAAATCATATATATGCATATATATATATATAGTATGAATACACTATGGGAAATAAAAATAGATATGAATGATGACCTAATTACATAGTTAGTCATTATTACTTGCATAAGTGTTAGTTGGGGGATTTATTTCATCTAAGTCGACATTGTTATTTTTGCTAATGTTGATTTTCAAGAAAATTTTCGGCGTTCTTAGAATTGTTATTGAGAAACGGTAACTTCAATTCCCAAAATTCGTTTTACAGGAGTCATTCCTGCATTGTTCCAGTTGGTCAAGTATGTGACAACCTTCTTGTCCTTCCATACTAAAACTAATGTATTTCTTTTGCGATATGTTACTGTCGATTTCTTACGAAATTTTGTTTTTTCTATTTGTACTGTTATATGCTTCCTATTTGTTAAGGTAGTTCCTGTCAGGTGGCATTTCAATTTCAATAATTCTTCAGCCAAGATAAAGCTCGTATAAATTTTTCGTCGTCTCTCACACCTCTTACTTCCTCACTATCTTCTCCACTGGATTTGTTCGTTTCGTGGCGTAATCCGCCAGAAATCAATGTAATTTCCTCGTTCAAAGCCGCAAAATCGAATTCGTCTTTCTGAACTTGAGCTGATCTGATCTTGATCCATATTTGGGATCGAAAATTTTTCAACTGCTATACTCACTGCCAAGACTGTTTCAACCGAATGCTATGCTGAGACTAACTGAACTAGGCCGCTCGAGTGGACGCTTCAAATCGGCCGAGTGCAAATGGTTAATATATTTTTTTAAATATATTAATGTATTTTTTTTTGTAATTTCTGCCAAATACGAATGCGATATTCATATTCAAAACAATATCCAATTTAAGGAATGTTTGTAAATAAAATTTTGTAAATAAAAAACAATGACAATGAGGAATAAAAATACAATTATAATAATGAATAAACATATAAATTGCGAATTAAGAATATCACAGGGATCAGAATCATTTGTTTCTGTCTATTGTGTTTACATACAGAATAACAAACATACAGATGAAAACAAATGACGATTATGTGAATAAACTGTACTTTAATTTATTCATTGCAATAACGTCGTATGTCACCATTGATTGTCATCATAAATACTAAATGTTTGCATAAGTTGTCTGCGTTTAGTTGAGGTTATGCATAAAACTTACTAAAGATATACATCGATTATCGCGTCAACTACAGACTTCCGTATCGATAGTTGTTTCATTCGATTTATCGATACCGAAAATCGTAACTGAAAGTATCGAATATATACTTATCGATAACAATTATTCTCGTATTTACTTAGATCGAAATATCCCTAGTTCCTAGTCCCTAGTCGCATTTTTACAATCGACTGACTGCCGACGTACGTTCTGGTATCAATTTGTCATCAATTTATTCGCTTTAAGCTACGTATTTCTTATTCGTTCGGATTTTACGGTAGTTCACAGCAAGAGTGAAAACTACGCTTAGCGCTCGTTTATTCGACATTCGAACTGTGAAATATGTGTTTACTATACTCTTGTTAACTCGTACTTGACTCACGCCATTTTAGTCTGTCACCAAACGTGCGGAAATAAAATTTAGTGCCTCTCTTCTCGTATTCCTCCTTGCCGGTGGAAACAATTTCTAAATAGAGTATTCGACAAACATTCCATCGTATCGCGAACGTCGTTTCACCGTGAATTCGTGACCAAAATTGGTGAGTGGAATTCGTTTTTTCCAACGTTATCGTTGCCATCGAATCGTTGTACATTGTCATTGCACCGACTGTAAAATATTGTAACAAACTGAACCCCTGAACTTACTTTTCCAATGTAAAAAAATTCTTTTCAAGGTTTATCTTCGACATACATATCGAGGCACTGTGCCCCTTATTAAGGAAGGGGGATGATACACTGAATAGAAAAGAATTCCTGCGTGGACCGTTCACAAGGGTAAGTTTTCGATTGTCATCAAATTTTCAAATATCAAATTTACATTCGTGGCCGTACAAATGGAGTATAATTGGACTGTTTGATTTTAAATCGCTACACCTTCGACAAGCGATCACAGACCGCAAAGCAAATGATTTTAACTCTGTGTCTGTAAGATTCTACGGAACCATGACAGAAAACCAGTGACCATGACGATGATTGTGATGATAATTATCCCTATTCTGATACATTTAGAAAGGAACGCGTTTCATTGGGTTTTCATTAATTCGTCGAAAGGAATCAAACTTCCGCTGTAATAATAAGAGATCAGTTAGCGATGTCATTATTCTGTTATGCATTCTATATGTACCGTTACATAAATGCATATAGATAAGCGAAGATTGACCACATATATTATGAAATATCAGATAACTGGAGATCGGTTTATAAAGAATGTCAATTTATTTTTAAGCTCAATCTTCTTGCTTATAAATATTCGTGATTTTCTCATTTATCCTGTGTACATTTGGTAGATATTTAATGATAAAGAAAATTGTACGAGTATTTGGTCGAATTTCTAACCTCTAAAATACTAGAAAACTCTGGAATGGTTCGAAGGAGTGGTTCAATTATTTGCGCGGATATTTCAAAGACTCGCATAATGGATTTCTTAATTAATGTTCCATAAATCACTGCGGTTCATTATACATGCGCGAAACTTGAGGCAAATATGCAATTGTTATGTGACATGAATCACAATCAGTGATTCAACCGTTATCCTTTACAAATATAGATCCTCAAGTGTTTCACTTTGTGATTACCATTTGTAGTTGAAAATTTCATTATGCTCACACTCGTACTGACCTCTTTTTATTATGCTTTTAAAAATACGATGCAAAATTTTTTTTTTCAAGTTATAAATTTTTAACTACGTGCATTAGTAAATGTAAAATATAATCTCGTTACTCAATTGTTTTTTTAATCAATTCTAAATTTTTATTTAAGAGAAATTAGTTTTTGTATTTTTGTTTTTGGAATAGGCATAGTGCTGCGTGATGTAAAATAACTACTTTAAACCTAATGTAATATATTGTTCACCTTCTTTTACATCAAAAGCTTACGCACGTGCTCTTTCCAATCCTTTTATCGATTTGTGTTACATATACAGCTTTTAGCGTAATATTCTTAAATCAATTGTGACAATATTATTTTTCTAGGCATTCTTTTTTATACTGCTATATTTTATTTGTTAATTTACTTACTTGTCTTTACTAATTTATTTCACATTTTTTTCAACATATCAATCGTTTTTATAATAGGAAAGGACAAATAAAATTTGTACAAGTGAGTGAATATTTAAAAAATCATTCACTTGATGATAAATCGAGAAAGTTTTTAAAACATTCTAATACGGTTAATCACGACACCATGCTCTCATCAGCAGGTTCGTCGCATTAAATTCGTGAAAGCAGTTTCATGTGTTGAGTAGATGCACTTCTACGAACGGGTGCGCACATGATATAGTACTTGTAATGTTCTGTCGTCATGCCGTGACTCATCGGCTACATCGTCGTTCTCTATTCCCCTTGAAGAGAAAGAAAGATTGCGAAAAATGTATGCATGTTTCTTGCACTCTGAAAGTCTCAAAATGTTCCGCAAACTTTAAACGAAATTCATTGCTTCAAAAATAATTATCACCGTTTCTCTGTATAGATATTCGTTTACATAATACGTATCTATCAATTGTTACTACGACACGCTTTTCATGCCTGTGCATTTTAATACTAGTCGCGAGGAGAAAAAAGCAATTTAAATCCAATAATTGATATTCTAAAATTCTATAATTGTTTTGAGCGATGGTCGTGGGAATTGCTTTTTTTCATCGTGCAGAAGTTGAAGATTATCAATTGGACGGAAATTTTTTACTTTTAAAAATAAATAAAAAGAACGTTTGATGTTAAATGTCAATGTATTTTAAGAAACACTTTACTTCTCTAAAAGTATATTTAACTATTATTATAAAATTAGTGACAACATGGCATAATAGTCTTACACTGTACTGTCCATTTTACTTTATAAAGTGATTCGAGCGGGAGAAATTATAAAAGGTGGACGCAGATAGGTGTCTCCGTGAAGTGTTAAGTGTCATACATGCGTAGCACCCTCTCATAGACGTTTCATTCATCGCACCCTTACGCACCCTCCGGTTATTCCTACTGACCGACTGACGTTTATTTGCGTATGTGGCCGTAGTGACGCTAAGCACGAAACTGTTCTTAACGTAGAAACGCATCATTCATTTTATTGTGCATACCTGGCGTGGACATGCCGGTGCCCATGCATGCACATCGTGCAGTTGTAGGAACACTCCTGAATTCTGCACGCATGCGCAAGCTTTCCATCCCCTTTCGTCCATCCTCCCCCCTCCCCTGGTTCTGTCGGTCTTTCGTGCAAGAGGGTGCGAAGCCAAACGTTAGCCCTCAGTAAAGAATTAAACGCGATTCCGCGAGGGTGCCCCCCTTTAGAAATCACATTGCGGAACACACTATAGTGTATATAGATATATATGTATATTGTACATATTCTATTTTTATACGGTTGAAAAAACGGGATAAATGACTTTTTTACAACAGATTCGATTGACTGAGAGTGACAATACGGTCGCGACTGTCCGCAAAGAAACGGCAGACAGATCGATATAGTAGAAAGTTAAATTTTTTTTGTATACGGATTAGGTAGGTCCAACAGAGTCCAACATTACCGATGGGTAGAACAGATATGTCAAAAACGCTGAACGCTTATAGAATGTGAGTAGTTCCTCCCCTACTTACGAATCCTTATACAATCCATTTTGATCGTTATCTATAATTTTTCCATTTTTTTTCTTTCCCACGAACACTATCCCCCGTCAAATATTCCTACATCGCTGCATTTCAACATAAATATACCAAGCTCTAATTGCCGCACACTTTCATTAGAAACTCCACGTACAATTCTTTTTTCTTTTTTTGTTCAATTTTTCCAGCAATACGATTGGATATACGCCAACAAGGAAATCTCTGCGATTGCATGCGCAGGCCACTGAAAATAATTCCCTTTGTAAACTGAGGCGCGTTCAGATGTCGCAATATGTCGATGAAGCAAAAAGTTGTATGAAAAATTTATCGTATGAGCCAAACTGATATCGAAAGTATTAAAGGTTAATTTTTCTTCGACATTAAAAAAATTTAGGAAAGTTAAGAAGTTCTCAGGAAACTAAGCTGATTTGACTTTTGAATGATTCATACTCGTTCCATTATATATTAACTGCAACATTCACTTTCCCTGTTAATATCCTCTAATGCAGGTTCCATAAAAAAATCAATGCATCGAGCCGAGACGTTCGTGCTTTTCTCACCACGCTTCCTAATCGCGCTTATATTGGAAAGTTCGATTCACGAAGATTATCATGCTGGCTGACTAAAAATGTTACCCATCCACGTTGTAAGTCCTTGGAGAAATCAATTGACCGGAAGTAGCCGTCAATGTCACGAGAGCGAAATAGTCTTACTCTAGCTGCATTTGTTGCGACGTTTCATTTGGAATGGATGAGGTCAAGGCTTGTTCGGAAGGACGATTGCACGAGGTCAAGGTTTACGGGTTTGGAAATCTGAAATCCTGACCTGGCCTCGATTACGTCAATAATTTCCTCTGTTCTTTCACCAAGTCTCTACTTCCGGCTCGTTTTTATCGATTGAGCGCGGCGTCACGATTTGCCTCTTTTCTCTCGAAATTTCACCATCTTCTTCTGCATATCTATATACATTCTGACGCATAAAAGAGCACGCCATGGTGGTCGCGTTTGCGCAGAACTACAGAGCCATCGATTTCGCTTGGGTTTTAACGCGTCCGTGACATGGGGTAAGTTTTCCATCGAAAACATCGCTCGCCCGCAATTGATTTTCGTCCCTAGTCGTGTCGTTGGTCGTTCATCTTGTACGAATATTCCTCCAGTTAATAGCAACTGTCTGCGTGACGGGCAAAGGGTTCTGGTTGTTTCCTCTTCTTCTTGGAAATTCACTTTTACTTGATACATTGGTGTCGCATAGAAGAAGTGCCTCGGCAATTGCGCCTGCGCGTATACACTAAACCATTGATTTCTGTGGATTTAACGTGGCCCTGACATGGGGTAAGTTTTTATTCGAATTAATTTTACGAGAATTGCGCGTTCGAGTGTCTCGAAACACGTTTGAAATCCTTGTGTTCAACGATCGGGCCACCGAGGCCGTGTATTTCTTTGAAAATAAAACCACTCTGTCGGAGGCTTAGGTTCGGAAATGTTCTTCGTACATACCAATGCCGGATACGTTTCAGTCTTGCCTCGACTGAAATACCTCGCGATGCCTATTTTTGATTGCGGTTAATTATTGGCGCGTAAAGCAAGTCGTTCCAAATACCGCTTACCTCTGCTTTACCTTTTTCTCGTTGCTTTCTGCCTTGGCCACGGGAACCAAAAAGTTACGCAAAATTCAATTATCGCTGCGCAGATCATTTTCGATGTATTTTACAATAACTGATGTATTTTGTCAATAACTAATGTTAATATGTTAATTGTGAAAATGACTTTACATCCTATTATACAGCTTCTTCTTAACACTGTAGAACAGAAAATACGTTTAGAAACCAACAAACAATTTTTCTTAAATACATTATACGAAAACAATATTTTACTAGAAAAGATCACTGAAAATAGTCCAAAATGTATCATGTATAGAATTTCCGTGAAAAATAAAAAAAATTGGTTCTAGTATTAATTAAAAACAAATACTTCAACGCGAATTAAAATAATATTTGAAAATTTTTGTTGTTAATTCTGTTTTTTCAATTTTTAGCAAAAAAATAGAAAATATTGGTAGAATGACGGCCATGACGCAGGAAGAAATTATGGCTGGTGCCAGAATTGTGGCCCAGGGTCTGGAAGCCCTCCGCGTTGAGCACGGGGGACTTCTGCAAGCCCTACAGACCCAGGACGCACCAGTCGCAAGAGATAAAGCCAGCTTGTTGTCAAAGAATATTGAGATGATAGAGTTGGGCCTGGGTGAGGCACAGGTCATGATGGCTCTTGCGAACCACCTACAAATGGTAGAGGCTGAGAAACAAAAACTTAGGACGCAAGTGAGAAGGTTGTGCCAAGAGAACGCCTGGTTGAGAGATGAATTGGCTGGAACGCAGCAAAAATTACAAGCCAGTCAGCAAGCAGTAAGTAATTAAATGTAAAAATGCCTGCACGTGACAAATGACTTGATAATTTACGATAAGAAATTATAGAAAAATTATATTGTCAGAAGATTGCAAATTTATATAAAGATGTCCGTTGATTAGGACATTATCACTCGAGCTTATATTATATAAATTATATACAGAAAATTCCTTTATGAAACTGAAACATGTGTGCCTCATTTTACCAGCTAGTCCAGTTGGAAGAACAGAAGAAACATTTAGATTTTATGGAGAGTATAAAGCAATACGATCCTGATCCTTCTGCTGATGACGAGAATGCTAAAGATCGGCCACCGGATGATCCTGTGGTCGATCTATTCCCTGACGATGATGCGGACGACCGAAACAGTAAGTGTACGTTCACTTTCTCTGTCTCTCTTTGCCAAGCATCTCTTCTTCTTAAGTCTGTGTGAATAACACTAGGAATTTTACTGAAACTGTCTTCTAATTTTCTCTATTAGATTCGAAGATACTTCAGCTATAAGAGATCAAGGTAGCTCCGTCCGATGTTGCCTTATCGCTTTAGTAAGATTTTGCATTCGCACAGGCTTAAGCTACTGATAAGAATCACTTTTTGCAATGTTCGCCATTTTCTATTGCAGCCATTTTACCAACACCGCCTTCGCAATTTGCACAACAAGTAAACGCTGGATATGAGATACCTGCGCGCTTGCGTACGCTGCATAATTTGGTTATACAGTACGCAAGCCAAGGTCGTTATGAGGTGGCTGTCCCTTTGTGTAAGCAAGCGTTGGAAGATTTGGAAAAAACTTCTGGTCACGACCATCCCGATGTCGCCACGATGTTGAACATCCTTGCTTTAGTATATAGAGACCAAAATAAATATAAAGAAGCAGCAAATTTATTGAACGACGCCTTAGCTATTCGTGAAAAAACACTGGGTGAAAATCACCCTGCAGTCGCTGCTACGTTGAACAATTTGGCTGTTTTATATGGAAAGCGGGGCAAATACAAAGAAGCTGAGCCGTTGTGTAAACGCGCTCTTGATATCCGAGAGAAGGTTCTCGGACGTGATCACCCTGACGTCGCGAAGCAGTTGAATAACCTCGCGTTGCTTTGCCAGAATCAGGGTAAATACGAAGAGGTGGAACGCTATTACTTGCGAGCACTAGAGATCTACGAAGGCAAACTTGGACCGGACGATCCTAATGTTGCGAAAACGAAAAACAATCTGGCATCGTGTTACTTGAAACAAGGAAAGTACAAGGATGCGGAAGTTTTGTACAAACAAGTATTGACCAGAGCACACGAGAAAGAGTTTGGTGCTATAGCCGGCGACAACAAGCCAATCTGGCAGGTGAGAATACTATCCGTGTTTTTAATTCTTAGAAGCCTGAAGCTTGGTCCCGTGCCGGGGTCATTTCTGACTCACACGGATATTCCACTAATCATATTTAGATCGCCCGAGCGATTCACCGATACTGTACTAACACAGAGTGACGGTCGCTCGAGACCGAGGTCCTCACCGATATTGTAACAACACAGTGACAGACAACCGACTCATATAGGAACATGTAGGAGCATATAGGAACAAATAATAATCACATGAATAGACAATAATAATGTTATAATATCTTGCATTTCGGGTTCAGCGTCACTATTTGATATACTTTCGTTGTCTGATGATAGTTCGCTGTCAGGAACGTCTTGTGCATATTGAGCGAAAGAAGACAAAGAAATATTGCTCGTTGGCAATGAGGACATTGCGCCAACAAATGGAAACAATAAATAGAAATACCGGAAAAAAGTAATAAAAAGAACAAAAATAATAATTGCTTCGATTTGCTGCACACGTCTTTCCTCCTCAGAGCGTTACGAAATTGATTTCTTTGTCTTCGTCGCTTCGACACTTTGGCGGACGTGTTAGCCACTTGGCGTTCGTGTGTTAGTGCGATCAAGTTTCAGCTACTAACACAAGCAGCTCCTGTCACTGTGTGCGTTATTGTATTCGAGTAGCTCTCAACACAGGTCAAAAATGACTCCGGCACGGTAGACGGGGGGGTTAAGAATGGTATTTGAGACGTAAGTGCCTGTAACATTATGGAAAACGGTTTTGTATCAGGTTGCTGAAGAAAGGGAAGAGAATAAACATAGAAATAAAGAGAATGCTCCATACGGAGAATACGGAGGTTGGCACAAAGCTGCTAAAGTGGATTCACCTACAGTCACGACTACTCTAAAGAATCTTGGTGCACTGTATCGAAGACAAGGAAAATACGAGGCAGCGGAAACTTTAGAAGATTGCGCTCTCAGATCACGAAAAGAGGTAAGTTGAGTAATTACTTGGACATGAAACGTATTACAACTAAACGTAAATAGTTTTATTTTTACTGTATTAGTAGACTATAAGTAGTACAGTGAAAGGGGTTGAAAAAAAAATATGAAAAAGTATAAACAAAATTTGCACGATGTGGACACTAAATTAGATGGATATATTGCTCTTTAATATATTGCATGAAAATGACTTAGAACCGATGATTGTACCATTAAAAAAACGTTGCAATTATTTAGAAATTATTAAGAAAAAACTGTAGGCATTTGTTACTTAAGTTGTTTCGTTTAATTTGAAGCAGACATTGGAGTTCGTGAAGCAAGGGAAAGTCGCGCAAATTTTAGGGGAAGAAAAAGGATCGACGAGACGCGGCTCGCGATCCAGCTTGGCAAACAGCGAACACGAACAACATGACGAGGTAAGTTGTGTCGGATACAAGAAAGAAATATTTTAGTTGCACTGCATGCTGTAGCACATTAGTCGTCTACTATCCTTTTCTTCTTTCTTTTTGTTCTTTTTTCGTTATCCGGCCCGTTCTGATGAATTGGCGACACGACACACAATCACAGGGCTCGCTGCCGCTGGTACAAAGGGCGCTACATGAAGGACAGTCCGGCCACAACGACGCTAGTCCTAACAAACCCGGTTTTAAAAACAAGATCTTCCAAGCTTTCGGGATTCATTCTTCCACGTAGGATATTCTTCGTTTGTAGTATTGCCTCGTTCGATTTATGCCCGGTTGCACGGTGATTTTCGGTGTATGTCGCATCGAAAAGTCTATATTTCTAGAACGAAGATGAATTTAAAAGATGCGTCTGTTTGGGAGAAGTTATATTTAGGTATCCGTTTTTAAATTTCACGATAGTGTAACACGCTGAGGAATTCGCGATCTTTTGCAAACTGTCTTGAACAATTCCTCTCAAATGCAAGCATTTATAGGAATTTATACATTTTTTGGACATAGGTACGGGCCTTTGACAATTTTTTGGGCATTTTGATATACTGCTTTTCTCGCAGCCAGATATCTCCTAATTGACAATGACGACAGCACATCATAACTGCACATTCTTTTACTATACGAGTATTTCCATAATTGTTCGTTACTATTTCCATTTGCTTCTCTTTTCTTATCTGAAGTATCACGTAGAAAAACCATACAGTCTTTTATAAATCACTTCCACTTGTAAGCTGTGATAACGATGCCCTTTCATTAATTTCTCTACGTCTTGTTTTCGTCGAATTTTGGTTTTCAAGTGAAATATCGAGGATATTTTTTTAAAAGAAAGAAAAAACCGATAGGTGCTTTCTACGAAGCATTTTATTTTTTACCACATTGCATTATTTGTCTGTAATTATTATTATTATTATTATTAACCGTTTGAAACTTTTTACGCTTTTATTATACACAATCATATAGAAAGCAATTAGGATAAATCAATAAGCTTCCAGAGACAATATTATTCATAATGAAATTACACGCGTTGATCGTTTCACGTGTTTAGAACGATAAAACAATTTTTTATGCTCGAGCTATATTTTTTCTTGTAAGCCAGACCATTGTGAAACACGCACACGAATTACAAAGTAGTCAATACTAGCAGCGGCTTTTGCTTAACTATATAGCTCAGTATAGATTTGCAAAGGTGATGATTTCATGATGATCAATGTGCAGAGAAGTTTAATAATCTATCTAACAATTTGCAGTTCAACGATGCGAAGAATTGTTTTCTGTAACAGGTTGTCCTTGCGATACTCTCGTATAGTTTTTAAATTTTTAACATCAGAGAAGACAATTCTCTTCAGATCCCCGGGATGACTCGAGTCATCGCTTTACATCAATTTACATTCGCTTCTTTATTCTACTATAATTAACATGAGTTTAATCTTACGTATTTTCCTCATTCTTTATAAAGAAAAGAAACATTTCATCTGGCGTAGGATCACATTTGATCCTATATTTTTAACACGATGTGAGGTGTCTCGAAGTTTCTTCAATGTTTTTAACATTTCTCTTCGAAAAGTATTACGTACTTGTTAAGGATGCAATTCGTGTTGTATGTATTTATTTACATATATATGTATGTTTTTATTTTAAAACTATTCTCATTTGTGTAGCAAATGATTATTATGTTAAATTATTATGACTATTATATTATATTTAAAAAAAATAGATCTCAAGAGCATGCGTTTAAGAAAAAGACTTTCTTGTTCGGGACACCTTGTATCCCATTTTTTTTATCTCTCTTTATTAATCTCTAACTGCGTTCTAAACGTCGAATCTTTCTATTCAGATGTGAAAGAAGGATAAACGAATAAAAATGTCCTGTTATCATTCGATTGTATGTGGTACAATATTTTCTGAACTTCGTCGATTAGCTATTACGAAAGCTGGATTATTTAATATAAGTAGTGCCTTGAGACTTCAACGAGTGAATGAATAAATTATTTTTTAACTGAACATGGTTGTTCCTGGTTGTCACTCGATTATGTGTATGGGTTTCTCGTGTACCATGGAGTTATAATCCTTATCACATTCTGTGTCACACTCTCTTTCTCTCTCTCTCTCTCTCTTTGTGTGTTTCCCTTTTATTTGTTACATAGTCAATCCCATATGTAGGGGACACCACCCTTGTATGAAATCAAGAATGCGTACATGGTTTGCATTATTAATATGTCCTCGCACGTCATTTGTGTTTTTTTTTTTAACCACCATTGTTATCAGTCGTTTTTCGATATCTGCGTTGTCGTTTTGTTTCGCTTTGATTTGAGTACTCTGCGGGCCGGGACTTAGATAAAAGGATGTCACTTCTGGAGTACGATTTACCGGTCTGGACATCAAAATACCGGGACGAAACTAGACCGGGTCTCTGTAGCAGGTGCGTATTCGTAGATTTTGTAGAACCATTTTTAATCAATTTATTTTTTGTTTTATTTTACTTTCCATTCCTGACGTTTTGTATTGATGCACAGACAAGTTTTTGTCGTTATTAATTTTTTTTTTTGTATCATTAGCTGTATCATCATTGTTCTCACCACTTTTTCCCCCTGTTTTTTTTTTCTCATACGTAATGCCGCAGTGCAGACGAGTTTATGTTTTTTTTAATTGTGACGGGATCATGATCGAGAAGTCATCATTCCGTGTCCTGGCGATTAATTACTGCTCTCCTTATATAAAACCTTTAGCTAGCATGGGAAAATGTATCATTTGGCTTGTGTATATACTCTCGGAACCATCCCTTCCTCTCCTCTCCCCCCTTGTACGAGCAGTAATTGATTATTATTGTAAATGTCATGTTGACACTTGATATGTCGAATTTTTGGCTTACCATGGTACATACGATTAATGTCATATTTTTTTTCAGCTTCTGTAACAATTTTCTCAGAATTTCATGCAGATCTTGTGTCTTTGATTAGAACGTTTGTTTATTTTTTCAAGTTAGTTTTTAATTTTCAATCAATAGCGATCATTCGAAAGTTTCCCCGAGTCTTTTGACATTCCATTGATCTAGACTTCATAGACGTCGAATGAGAATAAAGTTGCATTTTGAAGGCACGAGATCCTTGGGATATTTTTTTTTTTCCTTCAAACTGATATCTTTAGAAAACCGTCGTACTCTTCTGTTTCAGGACCGGAAGTATTACGTTCGTGCGCAATAAAGGGATACCCTGTAAGAGAGCTATACGCGAAACGATAACGCCAGGATGATAAAAAAAAAAAAAGAAAGAAAAAAACGGGCTCTGCATTGTTTAATCGAAACATTGACTGACGTCCGTTCTATCTGAATCGTTTAACGTGTAACAGCACATTCCAGCTGCTTTTCTCAATCAATCAGACGCACCGTAAAAAACAGAAGTACTCCATGTTGCTGCTCGTGCTCGATACACGGGAATTACGGCTTCGTGCATTCTAGCGACTGACCTGTTTTTGGAATAGAAAAGAAAACGGAAAAAAGAAAAGGAGAAATGAACAGAATGTTCGCAAGGCGAATTGGTCTATCCCGCTTCGTACGTGTATCTGAATCAAAAATCCGAATTCAAGCTAATCATACTTTTTTTTTGTTTTGTTTCTCTTACGTTCTACATATTTTTGATCTTCTCGAATGGCAGAAGAGATTCATCGCAGTGAAGCTACGTTGACCTAACGGAAAGTAAGAAAAATCGCCGACGTTACCCGATTCTTTCCTCGCATTGTACAGGAAAAAAAAAAAAGAAACGACGAACGAGTTTTCTTCTCATTATACGTCCATACTTGCATCTATATGCATCTAATCAGGCCGTACACGCGTATACATATCCCTTTCACGGATCACTATATCATACCGAAGACTACGTGTAATCATTCCACGAGCTGTGTTGCTTCTTTGGATCGAGACGCGCTCGGATAGACTGAAGAAGAAAAAAAAAAAAAAAAGGCAGTCACATTTAAACATAGGGGGAACATTTGTATGTCGCTTAGCATTATTGAATGTATTCTTACAAACACACCACCCACGGATATACAAACACGAGAACACACACACATACACCACGTGCACGTTAGAATAAATATATTCATCGTCATATTAACGATTGTAACAAGATAAAAAGGGAGAGAACCGCGCGTTTCCCTTTACCTTTCGTGTCTCAGAGTTCAATTGTGCAAATGATAATGTATAAATGGTAGTGGAGAGGTCCAATCTGCCCGGCGACGTTTGATTTCTCTGTCTTATATTTATAAATAATTGTACGCTGAAGTACTTATACGTCATACATTATGTCATACGTACTCACAGATATTTAATTTATTCATTATAAAGTTTGATTCGTTGTTTGAACGACGACGTTAATGCAGACATGATGGATATTATACGTTGTATTATAAGCTCGTGATTGTTTAAATTATTTCGAAGCGGAGCGAGTGTGGGAAATTTGTTATCGTTCTTCTTGTTTCTTTTCAATTTTACAAGAACGCATGGAACGAGGATTTCTTCTTGTAGCAAAATTTATAAAATTAACGCGCTTTGAACATCGTTATTGCCATTTAAAGCCAAAAATCATATGACCGGCTGTGAATTGAAAAAAAAAAAATCTGAGCCTGAGAAATCCTTTAATCGTTGAGCAGTTACGACGACGATAGAATGATAATCGTTTGAATTAGTCGAGTCCTTACGGTACACGTACTTGAGCTTTGTTTAAAGACCTCACGTTTTCGTTTTCGAACGAAATATCGCATTCAGCATCAATTTTATGCAACACATGTGTCACTTGTAAACTCTTTTAATTGCGAAACCAGTTGCTACAATGGCTGATCGTTGTACCACTCTGTTACATTCAGTCGCTATAGTAATTGTAGTCTATTCTATAGCCACTCGGTGAACAGAATTACACGAACAAGCATGGAAATCATTATCGCGAGTGTTTAACAATCAATGCATATTGTAATTGCAAATACAACGCAAAGTAATTATTATAGTTGCCGATGGAAAGCAACTTTAATCAGTTATACATACATAGAAAATGTTACGGCAGATAAAGTAGCGAATGTAATCTATCACGCGACGTATTTTCATCACTGCATGGTGACAACGAACGAAATAATCTCGCAGAAAGTTATTGATTAATTATTATTGTATTATTATAATACTTATTGCATCAAAATAACGTATTAAATTGAAGAAAAAAAAGAGCAACTTTCGCGCGGTGGCCGCTTGCTTGTTACAAGCACTTGCTTTGAAGTCTTGCTTGTTTACAAGACTCTATTCGCATATATGCGAGCGTTGAATAACTAAGAGAAAATTAAAAAAAAATTTTTCGAAATAGAAGAAGTTTTCGCAGAAGCTTTATTAACGTGAGTTCTATTGGACTGGCCTAGTTCAAAAGATTTACGATTACACCTTGGATATCTTGGTGTACAGGAATCATTTACAGTCGTAGCGACGATATGGTTTTATGATTTCGTGCAATTTTCCAATCATTCTTTTCTTTTTTCTTTTTTTTTTTACTCGAGGCTACGGAATACGACCTTGGTGTTCAATCCTGCGTTCATCGACGATGATTATTAATCGTTTCTTCAAATGATCGTTCGTTCCCTCTCTGTCATTAATTATTCATTCTCGTAGTACGTCATTTTTTTCATTTAAGTTTTCATGTGTGCTCTCATTGCCTCGGAAACGAACATGCATTTATTGAACATACGCTACCATATAATGCGCCTGAGAGCTTGAAGGCCTAGGGTTAGTCGTTTTTACTCAGCTTTGGATTTTTATTTATTTCTTCGTTCTTCACGATTGCCCTTAACACTGCACGGCGTAGCGTACTCGAAGAATAATTCTTTTTTCACAGTTCAGCAGCTGGATTTTAACTGGTATTTTTAAGTGCAATCCGCGTGCAATCGAATTAAGATTTCTCTATGTAAACTTGCACTACTATGTGTATTTATACATTTGTCTTAATTCTTATTCTTTGCTTAAACTTTACGCACTTATTTGTACGAAATCTGTAATCTGAATGTTTAATTGTTAAGCATTAATTTTAAGCTAAAACTTTTTTAATTCTGGTAATTTATTTTTAGATCTTATTCGGCAAAAATCTTGTATATAGTGAGCGGCAAAAGACACGTGTAAATTTTTAATCGCTTTTATTCACGATTTTTAATCCTCGTTAAATACTTTTTAATAATTTTATTCTTTTGGAACAAAAGGGATTATCGTAGTTTCTTAAGGAAATTTATTTTTTGAGTGAATTTCAAATGGGTTGTAGATCAACGTTAATCGATGATCTACTTCATAGTCGAGCTATAGTTGTGATAATATTAGGAATAAAGTTTTTTCGTCCCCCACTTATCGTCGAAAGTAGTCGCTTTATTTTGTAAATTGTTTAAGGTATTGCAGCTCTCAGGTGCAAGTACTGTTATTTAAATAATATGTAAGTTTTGATTTATAATAAATATTTCCACTTGTAATCCTTGTTCGTATGTCTCCTTCGCGTGGAAAGCATCCGAGTGTTCCTTATCGTATAATGAATTCCAAAAGATTAAGCATTTGAATAACATTATTATTATTGTATTCGTGTTTTGGAATTTTATTAAAATTTCGTTGGTAACAGACCCTCGTTTATTTTTTTCTTTTTTTTTTCTCTTGGTTCTGTATCTTCTACTCTTCGTTTCTCCCTCATGTAGTTTTCAAACATTGCATTTTTTCATAGTGTCGAGCTTGTTCAACTTTATCAATTTCTTATTTATCAAAAGTAATAATAGATAAAGAATTTCATATTAAAAAATATAAAAATCCTTTTTCTGTTTTTCTCATTAAGTCGTGTAACTTTGATTGACAAACAATTAAAAAATGAAGGATACATTTCACAAGGAGGATTTATTAATAATCTTATTATGGAAATAACTTTTATGAATAGAATTTTAACATGAAATTCTTCGTTCATTCCGTTTATTAATCGTAATTACTGCAAATCTAGGAAAAGAAGAAATTTTTATAAAATTAATACGAAATTCTTCATCCTTACTTAGAGTAATTATTTCTATTTGCACTGTGTGCCTTTGTACTCTAATATTAAAATAAAGAGAACTTGTAAGTATAAATAGAACTATTCTTTATGGAGTTTCTTGTTCTTTTTATTCTTACAAGTTTCTTTTGCATAATTTACTATTAGAGCATACAAATAGGAACAGGTATACTAATATGTAGATAGTTATGCTTAATTTTTGATTTTAGTAGAAATTCACTAATCTAATCATTTGTAGCTCAGATTACGCTACTTCATACAATAATATCACAAGCTGATAAGATTGGTCGGTTATTTATAACATCACAAACGGAGCTATAAATACCGATAGTCTGTTCACCGATAATGTTTCGTCCATCATCTTGATTGCCAGACGGCACAAATGCGCGCTCTTATAAATACCAAATGAAAGATTTCGATGCAAATGTAACACACATTTGCATCGTCGGTGCTATTGTTAACTTCGTAATCATCTTCTTCTCCTGGTACAAATCTATTTCTTTAATCACGCGATCGTTACACTCGCAGAACACTGCAAAAACAAAAAACGAATGAAATGAGAAACAAGACAATAGTGAGCATAATTTTCGCTGCGTACGAGATTTTATTACATAATTATTCGTGAGACTGCATCAGCCATTTGTTCCATCCACTGTTTCGAATTATAGAAAAGTTTTTATTGAGCATAGTGTTACACGTTACAATAAGTAATGATAATCAATAATCGTAATAAAGAATGAGAATAATCGATAATCAATGATATTACCTTATCTGTTCTTTCTTTTTTTTTTTTTCTCTCTCTTTTCTTCTTTTCAACAAGTAGAAACTATCACGTGAAAAGTTACATTTATAAAAGGGTAATAGACAGACAGACAGACAGACAGGTAGAACATAGAGATGGAGAGAGAGAAAACGGTACCCTTTTACAAACTTCTGATTTGTATCGGCTTGACTAGCATATTAGAAGCATTAACGTTACAAGTTAATCGTAATCAATTAGATTCGATGAGAGGGGTTGTGTGGTGGGGAGGGAGAGAAGGGGTCGAAAGCACGTTTAATGCGAAGAGGGGAGGGGGCGGGATATTATTAATTACGACATTACAGGTATTAAAAATTCGCTTCGTAATAAATTAGATACGACATATAAAGGAGAAATTTATACATTTATAAATCGCTAAGTAATTATTATTGTTACACGTACTCGTCGAGGGGCTACACATACACCGTGTTACTTCTCATCCTTTTCTTTTTTCCATCTTTTCTTTCCCCCCCTTTTTTTTTTGCCCGTTTCCTCGTTAAGAGACAATAATAACAATTGCAAGGCTGATTTGTACGAGAGTTTCATAGTAGTAAAATATTCGCTCCACGACTTACCCTCCCAACCCTTATATCTCAACCTCCGTGCAAACCTCCAAAAACACACACACACACACCGCAACGTGTGACGAAGAACTCTTGCTTTCGTTATTCGATTGTTCATTTCTGGAGAGAGAGAGTGAGAGTGTGAGAGAGATAGATAGAGAGTGAGATTAATTAGTTCCACAGCCTTTTATAATAATATTTAGGTGAGCAAATCAGCCTGGCAGATTCGGAGAAAGGAAGAAGCGACACGCGCGCTTGTACACACACGCGACACACACACAAAAAAAAAGGAAACATCCGACGAATGATAGTAAAATATTGTGTACAACTTCCCAATAAATATACGACGTTCGCCTAAAAGTACAGATTGCTTGTTATAATCCGCCAACGTCTCGCCGAGAAAGTACTTAAAATAGAGTCTAAACTAGTCTTTCGTGCTCCTAAGTCTAATGTTAAATTTGTAATCGAAAGGGATATTTCCCTCGCTGATGATTTTTACTCGGTTATACTTTAGGCTTGAATCACCCCTGACAAAGATCATCCAAAATATCTCTAACTTCCTTCGCATGCGCATAAGTAATTCATTCGAGATGAAAATTGATTTTTTTCACAATGTTGTTAAAACATAGAATGCAATGAAAGACACACAAACGAACGATTAATTTTAAATATTAATACTAGAACAATCAAGCCTGTCAATACGATGAATTTCAGGTTTAAAAGATTGAAAGTAATATTGGTTTCTGTTTAGATTGATATTGATTGTATGGACATACTTATTTTAATTGTAATGATTTATACGTGAAATATGTAGAATTCCAGTGTCAGAATAGCATCGTCAATCGTTTAAAAGTACTTGAAATTTAAAATACGTTAAAAATATTTTTTAAAAGGGGAATCGAATAATTTCATCTACCTAAGGAAACATTACAGAGATATTTGGTTGCTCCATTTCAGTGACTTCATCCCATAAAAAATGTATATTGTTTTTTCGTCTGAACGTAGGTTTCGAGATTGAAGGACGCGTTTACAAAAGGTCCAGAACCTTGCATTCCTTTTCGTGAAGAATTTTTTAATTTTCTCCAATTCGAAACCTACGTTCGTCGACGAGACTTAATCGGTAGCTTTATTATCGAAGTGTTTCGCAAAATATCAGAATACTGAGTAATACACGATCCTTCTTCATCTCGTTTCATTCGCGCGTTCGCGAATAAGAAGCGGTCGTTCGGCGGAAATTTGTTCAGTGCCGATAAATCGATCATCCCATCCGATTCGATGCTCTAGCACCTGCCTGTTAATACATCGACTGCCACGATTACTGATGAATACCACTGGAAGAAATATTACAGACAACGTAATGATACATGCTACAAAATGAAAACTGCTCTTCTATTGTATTGTTATCGTAATACATTATTTTAGAAAAATTAAATACCCCATAGGAAAAACGCATGAATTTTGCGCGGCAGTCAACGTGTTAAAAAGCGACCAATCAAATTATTGACGATCGTAGTAATTTTAAACGTTCGATATAAAGGAGAATATAGATCTAGATTAACACTACAACGACCGGCTGCCAGTCAGGAATGACTTTCACAAAGAGGCGGCGCATTTCGTTAAAATAATTTACAACCGTTAAAAATCACTTGACGTTATATATAATCGTCGATCATTAAATGCTGAAACTTACATGACGCCACAGTCACGTCACCGATTACTAAACGCTAAAAATTACATGACGCTACACCGATCCTCATAGTGTTAACACGATTTGCAAATAAAAAATGCAAGATTCAATAATCGTTTCTCTTAAATTAAACTTTGGTCGCTTTCAAGGGAATCTTTTTTTTTTTTTCCTTTTCTTGTGTTCTGTTTACGTCGATCGAAAGCTGTCTACGTCTGGCAGTGTTGAAATATATATCCTAAGAGTTACAATTACCGAGGAGGTTTTTGTGCTCGAGATTAGAAAAAAATTCAGTAGTTTATTGCGAAATCCATTATGAGTCTAAAAGTGCGAAGAAGTGTGGCGATTGGAAGGGAAACACGGTGCTAGCAATGAAACTAACAAGAGCAAAGAACAGGTGCTTCAAACTCGTTAGTTTCGTCGTTCGTCCTAAGATTAAGAACTGGTCTTCGGCCAGGCGATCTTCGCGTCAATCCTCTTGTAAGCGAAAAGGCAGTGAGAGAGCTCTTGTGGACATTCGTGGTCACCGAGTAAGGTTTCTATAGTAGAGATTAATTAAATTATACACATGATATCTCTTCGACCTGTACCATCGTGATAGCACAGGTTAGTAAATGGTAGTTTAATTAATTCTATTTTTTTTTTTAATCGTTCAATGCTGTAATTGTGTAGTTGCTTTTTAATCATTTTTCAGCTACTCAGCTAATTTCTTAAGTATATAGTTCTTAATAACTTATTCTTTGTGTATCCTTTGTTATTAACTTGTACTTTTCATTAAACAAATTGTAGACAAATTCGTTTAGAAAAATTTGTATAAATTCTGATATTTTCAAAATTAATAAGAGATTAATAAGAATCTAATCTATTGCTATCTAAAATTATTAAGGAATAAAATTTCTCATGTTTGCATAATTTTGATGAAATGAATTTTTACCTTCCCCTTGCACCAGTTTGAACAGTCCATAGTCCTGGGGGTTAGTGCACCTGATCTTATGCGCGAGGATGCGACAAATCTCTCTGGTGTTCATATTTGGTCGTACAGGCAACGTTCTGGTGTTCAGGGATCCGTGCAGTTCATCTGGCACTAAGATTCGTAGTACGGATGAACAGTCTGGTGTTCCACAAACCTGAAACATTCGAATAATATCTTCTAAACATATTCTACATTAATTTGATACTAGTAACATAATCGTCTATTAATATTAAATTGACAAACGATTACTTATAATACATTAATATATTTTTTAAATCTAAAGAACACTAACATTTTGTACTTGAAAATGATATTAATTGTTAATATAATATGTACGTTGATATAATTTAAAAAATGATTGAAATTGTATTGTATGATGCTTCAGAGACCAGCATCAGCGAAGTCACTTACATTTAAAGTGGACATCGTTCCCTGGCTGGACTTGAACATCTTCAAAACGTGAACAGCGCTAGACAAGGTTGTCAGATAATATCCCCCTTCGCCAGTGAGAAGAGAGGGATGAAGCAGGCCCCACATGTACTCAGCCTCCACCTCAGCGCCCACAACCTTGCCACGAACCAACACCCAAACTAGAAGAGGAAGAAGGTCGTCGGCGCCTAGCGTTATGAATTTACCGGAATTTGCGTGTTTCACCTGGAAAAAAGTTACTCTGGATAAGAAATATTATAACAAACGTTTAAACTCTGAATCACTTCGTATGAAGATTACACAGAGACAATGCTAATTTGCATCTAGATTTGCTTGAAAAGGGGAAACAAATACCCCCAGTTTTACAAAACCAAGGGCCTAACTAACGTTGCAATTAGACTATAGATTTTCATGTACCTGTGAGAAATTTGATTTCGTTGCAAAAATTGCACAGTATTGTAACGTTTACTTTAGATTATGTTTTTTAAGACATGAATTTGCATAAATCAATATTTGTTGAAATTTTCAAAGCTTCTCTCATATTCTTCATATGTAGTGTGGTTCAAAAAATTAACTTCAGAATCATTGAAGGGAATTTTATTGCAAGGGATCGTATTTAAATTAAAGGAATTTAAAAAGAAAATGACAAACTTAAGACGAGACTGTAACACGACTTACAGAATTGAAGATCGCCGAAATGGCCCCGAGAAGGTGCTCCAACTTGTCCAGAGGTGAATCCGCCTTTTGAAGTCGATCGATGTATTTGAGGATCAGCTCCAAACTGGCTTCCGATGGGGGTATGATCTTTGGCTGTAAACAAGAATATTAGCAATGTTAATTGATTTCACTTTCAAGTTTAATTTTACTAATGATACTTTAAATTGTAATTTACTTTAAGAATCTGAGGCCTTTTAGCTATAAATCTTCTAGATTCTGATTGTTCTAGTCTATAATAGAATAAATTAGGTACATTGAAATTATCTCATATATAAGTAAGAGTAGTTAGAGAAAAGATCACTATTTTGAAAATTTGCAACACCAAAGTCAAAGCTTACTTTTTCTCTCTTCAGATCAAAAAATAAATCAAAATAAATAAAATTATTCTTCTCAATCTTTACTTTGGTCTTTTATTCAACTCTCGAAAAGAGAACAGATATTTTCTACTTAAGTTAGGTGGAACTTCGATTTTCCAACAAATCCAAAGAATAGAATATTTAGTATGTATGTAAATCAAATTGCTTAGAGTCCGTTTCTTTATCTGAATATAAAATTCATGTTATCTACAATTCAACTCGAGTAATTAAAGATTAAAATCCAAAAAGAGAAAAATCAAATTTCCACTAAACTGCAGCAACTATGATCGTAGAAAATAATTGGAATAGTCTCTTTAAATCGTTCTTGCTATTAGACCGATTATTCTTGAACGACCATAAGAATCAACTGTATCGAAACTGCCTCAGATTCATCAGACTATAATCATCATCGAACGATGAAATTCTGAACGTGTTATTATCTACGTATAACTTCAATCAACTCGCTACAGACTAAGATCCACAAAGAAAAAAATATAAGAATAAAATTTTCGCCTCAAGAAAATTCAGCAATTAACTAAATATTCAAATCCAACTCGACCAACTAAAAATTGAAATCTAGAAGTGATAAAACAAAACTGTAGCATCTACAATCGTAGAGAATAATGATTAGAACAGGCTCTCTAAACTGCCCTCGCTATGTCGAACCACCCTCGCAAAAGCGACCATAAGAACGAACAATTCCCATTCGCCAGATAATAATCATTTCGACAAACAGTTACTAACTCGAACGCCGAGATCCTGAATGTGTTTCCCTTGGGCATGATAGATGTTCTCGGCGAGAGTTAGCAACGAGCCAGTGGCCACGTAATGCTCGATAAACAGTCTGTAAACGTGTTCCCTGAGCGGCTTCAGCACCAGGGTCATCATCACGCCCTCCAGAATCGCGTCCAGGTTCAAAAATTCATTTGGTTTCAGCTTTATCCTTTCTTTCTCCACTTCCTTCTCGAACTCCCTCTCGCCGTGCTTCAACAGATAGTTCTTCATCCCGGACATGAACTGTCTAATGTTCCTCATAACCACGTGAGGACTGGCTTCTTTCCCTTCCTTCGTGCACTGAATGAAGTTGTCGATATGGTGGGAGAAGGTGGTGGTTTTGTCGGTAGCCAATTGAAGGGCATACGACCTTATGGTGGAGCCTGTGCCCGTGTTATCGCGGTTCCTGAGGGCTTGCAACCTAGGAGGAGCTGTGGAGCAAAGAAAAATTCGATTAGGACGATTTGAGGTTTAATAGCGAGAGATAGAGCGATTGGGATTCGTTATAGGGGTGTTCTCGAATGAAAAATTGATTTTTGGAGAAGCATAGTTGGGCATGAATGACGATGGCCTGTCAATAGATTAAATGAAGGGATACAAGAATCAATAGAACGTTTTATATAATATTTAACAGATTATTGTTCAACATAAAAATATAAAATTGTGTAGACAACAATAATTCATTGTTAATTCAAGTTTGATCAAAATGTACTAGGTTGTTATTCGTTTTATTGATAAAAGTGACATTAATTTTATTGGTGAAAATGAAAATAACGACTCGAGTATTGATAAAGAGTAAATGTTTAAGTAGCAGCTTAGTTAATAGATAACGAATGAAGAATGAACATTGCAATCGTATTGGAGGGATGTTACTTACTCGTAGCTCAGTACTAGTTCAATTCGAACTTTATTAATTCATTATCTTAGTAAATAGACTTTGGTATCGCGAATTATTATTTTATCGTTGGTAAACTACTAAATAAGTGCTTAAAGTGTGTTGAAAACATGATAAACAGACTTCGTCACTGTACACTGTACATGCAATTACAAAGATAGTAATTTGATCTTCTTTTATTGTTCTTTTTTTATTATCGGCTAACACATCTTGGTGAAAAAGTCCTTTGGGTATGCAAATCTTTTAATTTGCTAACAAAAATTTTAATTAAATTTAATATTTAATAATTTAGATTATAAAATAATTTGTTTAATGATTTTAAATTCATGATTTAAATAATTATAAATTCATCATTCAATAATTACAGACATATTTAAAAATTATACATAAAATAAGCAGAATAGTTATTTATAAACAAGTTAAAAAATTATCGAAGTGCTTCTTACTTTTAAAGATCATTTGCAATCTTGAGTAAATGAGCCGGAACCACTTGCCAACTCTTCGAAAGTTGAACATGGAGTTTGAAAATGGAGAGAAATTCTTTTTTTTGTGCTTAACAGTTATTACTGTCACCTGCATCTCCGCTAAATTATTCATCATCTTTTTTTTGTATTTAATATCACAAAGCTGCCAAAACTTCATTCCTCGCTGCATCGTGATGTATTAACTAGAAACTATAATACTGTTCCTCAAACTCTCAACTTTTCTCAATTTTACACAATATTCCTCAAACTTTCACAAATTTCACAAATTATCACCAAGTTTTCTTCGTTTTGCTTGACACAATGTAATCGATAATTTATAAAATTTTCTCCTTCCAAATGCTTTTTGTTTCTCAAATTTGTAAAATTCAATTCTGAATTTGTAAAATTTCGACTTGCAATTTGAAATTTTAGTTTTATCAATCTGCAAAATTCCTTTCTTCCTTCTCGAGTCTCTTGTTCAAATCTTCTCCAATTTTTTCTATTTAATTTCGAAGGAGACTAAATAGTCTTAGAAATTCACAGTCTTCTTTCCAGTTTTCTTCTATCTTCAGAATGTTCGTCAACTTTCAACGATTCTCTTCTACAGAATTACACTCTCGATTTGTACAACGCGTATTTTTTTTTTTTTCTTTCGCCAATCGGATTCGGATCGCTATCTGACGCGAGGATCGTTTGATCCACGGAAATGCTCTCAAGTCGAAGGACTCCTCGAGGAGGCTGGCTTATCAGCTTCAGAATTCCGCATAAAATTATCGACGACGATGACCCGAACTAGAACTGCTTTAGACGTCTTCGAGACTCCGTCAACTGGTTATCTCGCCGACCCTGCAATCTTACGGCCAGATATACGCATCCCCCTTAGCGAAAGATTTTTCCACGAACGATTTTTTTTTCTTTGCTCTTGAAAACGGACTGAATGAAAATTCAATATAATCCTTGAAAATATAGGAGAGTTTTTTTTTTTCTTTTATAAATTGGGATGCTTGATTCACGATTTACGTTTTTCTGTAAACGTTTTAGTATTTTATAATATCTTTGTTGATTCTTCGAAAGAACAAAGATCTTCAAGATCTCGGTTAAGAAATCGATCCAAAGACGAGACACTTCACGTCGAACTTCTTTACAACTCACAACACAATCAAACAAGAAACTGTTGAATATCGCGAAGAACTTTTTCCAAACTATATTTTCATTCACCGAATTGCCGAAGAAACTCGAACTGATCGAGCGAGCTCTGACGAAACTGCACCGATCGATGGACTAACCGACACTGAACAGTCGTCAATCGCTGTCTAAAAAGGTAACTTCTGCATGTGCATTGTTTAGTAAAGACGCGGTAGAGGGGAGAACCCCAACAAATGAGAGAAGAGGATTTGGGTATGACTCGGCATATTTTTCTTGCTATTCTTCGACCCAATGAGTACTTAAGAATTTGGGATTTTCATTGCTCCTCGGCTGAATTTCAGTTGAACTAATGAGAAATTTTTATGACTCACAGATTTATGATTATTTTCACAAAAGATTTTTATGACCAACAGAAAGCAGAAGATTTTAAGTATACTATTATACATTTCTTCGCTTTTGATTTTGAATTTTAGAATTTCTAATGGCAGTCACATTTCCGAGAAGATAATTAGAAAAGCAGACGGACATAATTCGTTTTATTCCAAATAAAACAAATATGGCCAAGCCTGTTTACTATCAACGTATTAAGGTAAGTGCTCCGAATGGATCGGCCATCGGCAATGGTTATATCTCGACCAATGTTTCCACGCTATTACGAGCACGATGTCTTTTCATCCTTATTGTCGTCGTTACTTCGATTCATCTCGGCCGGAACTTTTCTTCGTAGACAAATATTGTCGTCGGAGTGGTGTACAAAAAAAAATAAAAGATTGTAGAAGACAGAAAGTTTCTCAAAGAGTTCCCTGAGGAACTTACAGGAAAGTTTCGTTTCACGACAGATGAAACAAAGAGAAAGTTTCTTTTTTTTATTCGAGAGCGAGAAGAAGTTGTTCTCTGTGTTTCTTAAAGTAAATAATTCGTTTAATTAAACAATTAACCAACATCTCCGGAATTAGTATACCAATATCTCCCTTTTTTTCAAATAATTACAAAGTAATTTATTTATAATTAATAATCATAAATGTATTTTCTCCTCATTCTGTTTTGACGAACGAAAATTTTATTCGAGAAACTAAGTAATTTTCATCTAGAGTTTGTAAGAATAAAAAAATTTTTCATCACATCTCGCGTGCAGTTAAGCTAAATGTTTCGAGCTGCGAAACATCGAAACGATTCTTGAATTATTCGAAGCGATTCCAGGCTCATAGCCGCTATGAAACAACCCCTCGTATAACACGCAGCTCGAACTCGGGGGACAACTGCGAGCAGCGAGGCGCAACACGCGAGAGTTTGCTATTCCAAACGACCGACACCTCGTAAACTATTCCAATTTGTTGGCAAAGCCAGCCATTATCGTTCGCTTTATAGGGTCTGTCGTTCGTTATAAACCTTCGAAGATGAAACTATCGCGAAACTTCGCCAAAGAAAATTTACCTCGAACTTGTAAAGTTTGACAATTCTTCGGCGAGCAACTTTCTTGAATTCTTTTTTAAACTTCTGCCCGAAATTTTGAATACAAAAATTAGAAAATTTTTATCTGAAATTTCTAAATTTTTAGATGCGTGAGATTTCTATTTTTGAGATTTATATGAATAAATATGACAATTTAATATTTGTCAGATAAAGTTAAAGATATATAAACTTCTTTGTACGAAGAAATACCTTGTTCAGTCGTTATTGAGACTCATTGCTCTAATTATAGTTGAATTACGCATTTGATTTATGTATTTCTTCCAGTAGTGACATCACAATTTCAACGATCCATATTTGTCCAAGATAATCTTGTAGTAGTTGAAAAAAACGAGGTAACGAAGATATGATTGAACAGTAATAGCGTGAGTAATTTTTGTGACGATACGCGGTTTTGAAGCAGCGATAAATGAACGTAGAAACATCAAATCAAAATCATTTCCGTCATTTTTATAAATAATATAAAAATAATGTAATAATATATATAACAATAGAAAATCTAAAAATATACATTACTCATATTTTTAGCTTTCTATCCTAAACACAATTTCAAAATTCAACATAAGATTAAGATCCTTAATTGCACTCTATTATCTAGTCCTTTGAATCATTTCAAATATTTGCAAGGGATAATTTTATTACTGTCCTTTGTTTGTAACGTTTAAAATATTTGCAAGGGAAAATTTTATTACTGTCCTTTGTTTGTAACGTTTAAAATATTTGCAAGGGACAATTTTATTACTGTCCTTTGTTTGTAACGTTTCAAATATTTGCAAGGGATAATTGTATTACTAAATTGTTTTTTAAATGTAGAAAGTTTGAAAGTAACTACAGGAAATGGATGAAGATTGAAATGGTAATGATTTATGTCGAACAAATTATTTTCTATACGGTTGTCATTGTTATTTGGACAGTAGGATAGCGAAAGCTTACAGCTTATCTGTCTAGTTCAATTACTTCGAGTTTTGATCTAGTAATTATGCGAGAATGTTCGCAAATATTCATGACTATGCACATTTAGTCTGTTTATTAATTTATTCTTTTTGTTTCTTGATTCGTCGATCTAATTTGCTGATTTACTAATACATAAAGATTATTTTTCTGGTTATTGGATTTAATTAGTTATTAATATAAATGGTGACTTTTCGAGGCTCTAATTTTCTAATGTTTTAATTCTTTGATTTGATTTGACTTGACTATAATTAATTAACTTTAATGTTTTTCAATCGTTAAATTTTGTAAAATGACAAAGTTCTCGAGATTCATAATTCCGTCAAATCGTTAAACTCAAAATCATATATCACCGAAGTAAACAACCATTATATTATATTAAAAATATGCAAATTCTTCAATTTTCAATTTCACTTGCAGAAGTATTAAATCTGAAACTTCGAAACTCAATCAAGAAACCTCGGCATCGATCATTTCCTTCTCAAAGAACGAGAAATATGTCACAGACAGAGATCATCTCGCAACCCATCGTCAACTTCTTATCTTCTTATCATCACCGCCAGACGAGAAACGAGAGTAATCGTTAGCATAATATCAGACGCATTGTCCATCGAGCGTTTCTGACACGATCAAACGAAGCACGAGCACCGTGTTTACTTACGCTAAGTCGTTAACAAGCTCTTTCTTTTTCTCTTTTAAATCGTTTCGTTCGTGAGAGTCAGCATTAGTTAAACAATTTATTAACTATCGTTTCTTTCTGAATCTTGAATTATCGATCGGCAATCACGCTTGTGTCATCCGTGACTCGTAACCTTCTCGATGTAGTTGCACTTGCGCCACGCGTGGCAATGCACTTTGATGGTTCATGTGAGTCATGTTGAGACAGTTGTCAGGATGATAAATACATAGATATGTAGTTCTATGATCTTGTTTTATATATATGTTTCTATTTCACGTTGTACACGCGTGTTTCACAGTTTGACCATGTGCGATTAATTAGAAAATCTCAATCTTTTGAAATTAATTATATACTTTGAAATGATGAAAACTATTAGGCGAATTTGCTTTCACACATTCATTTTGATTTGATAGTTTTCATGTATTAATTTACAGATTGTTACAGTAAACCATTTGAAAATCAATGGTTGTCGAGGAATATTCTTTCGAAGTGAATTCGAAACAATTAATTCTCCTTGATATCGTTGATTGCAAGTATTTTAGACGTACGTGTATTTCATTGGGAAAACTTTCTTTTTGTTGTTTCAATTTGAATCAATCTTCAGAGTTGCTTGATTATTGAGATCAGTAGTATTGTGCGACTTTCTTTAAATATTTGGAAATATTTCTTACCAACAGTTTCGAATTTTATCGAGCACAGTGAACAATGCATAAGGAATCTGCATTGTTTATCGGCCATGAACTTCATTGGATTGGCCAACTGTTGTGCAATCTATTAGCATACACATAGCACACAGTCTTTTATTCTGTTTCTCTCAGTTGCTTCTGTGTTTTTCCTACGTGTGTTATAAAATTTGCATGCATATTGCTAGAGATTTGCAAGCATATAGCTAGACATAAATATAAATTATACTCGTGTTTGTTCGAACTTTCCGCTGCTTCTACTTCTTAATTTTTTTATTTGTTTACATTTTTACTTTTATCTCCAACATTTACGCGTGCATATTTATCTTCATCCCTAGTTTCCAGATTTTCAAAATTTCTAAATCTTTAAAAATACTATTGTTTTCTACAGTGATAAAGAAAATATAAAATAAATAAACAGACTTACAGAGAAGAGGGTCCAAACGTTCTTTGAAGCTCTTGTTTCTCTTCATTCTCTCCACGTCGCTTTCGTCTGTCTCTAATGGCGTCTCCCATTCAGAAGAGTCGTAGGTTTGGTCCTTCCTGGTGTCTCTAGCTTCCTCCCTTTCGTTCCTCTTCTCGACGTTATCGTACGAGGAGTTCCTGTCGCTGTACAGCGACTCCGACGTGTCCGGCGATTTCAACAACTCTGGGTACCTGTTGGACAGACAAAGACAAAAGGAGAATTAAAAAAAATTGTCTAAAGCAATTTTTTTTAGTTCTAAAGCAATTGCCAAAATTTCTACTCATTCTCTTCCCACTTGTCTATCTGATTATATTTTGTTAAAACATACAAATGAATTTATGAAAAATTTAGGGAATAAATTTTTTTGTATAATTTTTGAACACTGTATTGTTTTAATGCCATGTATTTTCTTCAACTATTAAATGGGTAACAGAGAAAAATGTCATCATTTCAGGTAACGAATATTTTAGAGGACTGGCAATTGAAATTTATTTTATTCATTATTATGTTACATAACTCAGATTGTGTTAAGGAGAAAGATGATATTTTCTAACATTATAGATGTTGAAAGAACTGTATATAAGAAATATTCAGAATGTAATCATCCAGTTTTCTATAAATAGTATTCTATAATATAAAATAATAAAATAATAATAATATAATAAATAATAAAATTCTATAATAGAATTAAATTTTCACTTTATACAAAAATATATGATATAACATTTGAAATATAATATTTCACTGAGCCTCCCCTTGCATCCAACAATTATGAAAAATAAAATCGAAGTTCCAAAAGGTATTTAAAACATTTAAAAATACCCAATAGCTCAGAATACAAAAGACTGATTTGATTTAAGAAATAGATGTACATGCTTCTCTCACTCGAATTTATTATTTGATTCAAACAAGTTTGCTATCAGCGTTGCATTGATAATGTCATCGACAATTGCAATTTCGCAATTCGACGGACTGTGAATGAATTCGATTGGACAACTTACCGTTGGAGGATGATACTCTCAACGGTCAAAGTGTTCCCAACAACATCCCTGTCGCACTCCTCGTCCGGAAACTTTCTGGCCACGTTGTCGCCCTCGAAATCCGCATCACAGTCGTAGTCTGGCTCGCAGTCGTCGCCATCGTTGCCTGGGCAAGCATTATCAAAAGTCGTTATCGACCTATCCATCGTTTGAAGAGAAAGCAAATCTCAAAATTCACTTTTCAATTTGAATTTTCACACAATTTGGACAGGATATTGATAAATATACGCGTTTAAACGTATGACTGGTTTGCAAATCGACGATCAAACGAAATTGAAACAATATGTTGATTTCTCGAAATTTCGTGCAAATTTTCACGAACGGAGATTAGATTGTTAAATTCATGATGATATCGGTTTATAGATGTTGGATAAAGAATGGGTATTTTATCATATTTTGATTTGAAATTGTTTGTTGAACAACGTCAAGTTTACTGATTTGGAGAAGGATTACAAATAGTTACAAAATGCTTCTTCACTTGTATCTTTTGACGTAACAGATTGGATGATTAAAGTAACTTAACAATGGAGAAAATTACAAAACACTGGGAAATCAATTGAAAATTTGAATTCATTAAGCTAATACAATTATTTGTTTTATTTTAGAAATTAAAAATATAGATTCTCGGATAAAACAATCATAATCTCTATTTTATAAAAGACTATCTTAAAAATTAAACAGAAAACACAATTTGGCTACAGTTCCAGTTGGAATAATCACATTCTTTATTTTACTTAAAAATTCGAGGAAAGAATAATTTAAATTTACTGAAATTTAATTTTCCTAATTAACTTTATTAACAATAATATAACTCTAATTCCAACATCTTCCTTTAAAAAAAAAATCATCCATTTTTCACAAGACTGTAAATAGCAATTATAAACAACAAAAAGTAAAAATGAGAAATTGCAAACCTACCGATGAATTCCCAACTGGAGTCAACAGTCCAGGATGTGTCATTGAACACCTTGGTCCTGATCTTTGGTGGTTGTACCGGCTTGGCACGTGGAATCTTCTTCGTCTCTTTGGTGCCAAGCCTCTTGGCTAGATTATCAACAGAAGAGGAGATCAGAGGCGTCTTATCTTCCGTTTCTTCCGATTCCTCCCAATCGATCGGGTGTAGCTGATTAAAATTCGCACCTACTGGCGTTTGCAACCATCCTGGTTCACTATGTCGATATTTATTCGTCGCTGGATTATTTCTGGGTCGTCTTCTCGGTATTATTGCAGCGTTCTGTGCGATCGCGTCCGCTGGTTCCGCGTAAAATGGACTACCCTGTTTCGACTCTGGTGTCAGGGGACTATTGCTCTCTGATTTCGCTAGCATCAAGCCCAGTTTGTTCCTTGGAGGCGTCACCGTGCTGGGACTGTTTAAGGAATTTGTGCTGCCTGCTTGAAAAAAAAAAAAAAAGAAAAAAGAAATGATTTTTAATTAGCAATGGTGCACGTGTATGTATTATCGATTACAGTGAATTTTTCTTTTGCTTATATTTTCTACATTGAAAGTGATTTTTTTTATTGTAAATGTCGTTGGTCCAGAGAAAAAGACTTATCAATAGTTCATTTATTTGAATTTGATATTGAATTATAATAGAAGCTCAGAAGTTTTCTCCACTACATATTTTTCTTCATCATCATACTCTTCAAAGCATGAAGATAAAATGAAAAAGATATGACTAATCAGAAAACAACAAGAAAATATTTATGCCATGTTAAAATTACTATAAATAATGTATAAATATATAAAATAATGTAAAAATATAAGATAATATAAAATAATGTATAAACATCCATAGTTTAGCTATTCTATCCGCAAAAATACTACGTAATTGTTAAATTCTATCAAATAAGCCGATTCTTAATTAAATACTCACAAACTCGTGACAAGAGATCAGGTCTCTTCCCCATCCCTGTCTCCTCGGGCGAGCCATTGCTATGCTCCACAGGCTTCACCTCCTGAACAGGCTTGAAGCTGCTGAACTCGGGACTGGTCATCTCCTTGTAACTCAACTTCTCGTTTCCAATTGACTTGTCATTCCTCACGATCATTCTGTCGTTCCTCACTATCAACTGCTCGCTCGCTGGCAGTCGTTCGTTGAAATTTCTCTCTGAATTTGAATTTATAACTCTGTCTGGGACCATCAGCCGATCGTTCGAATTCCTCAGTCGATCCTGAGAGTTCGCTGGTCCGTCGTTTCTCGCTAGTTTATCATTCGGAGACCAGGTGGAATGGTTCGATTGATCGGTAGTGTTCCAAATGTCCTCGTAGTCCGAGATCTTGTCCCCAGGTGAGCTTCGATAGTACGATTCCAAGATGTCGGATTCTCGATAGTGTTGCGAGTTCTTTCGTGCTTCTCGGTCTCGTCTTCGTTTCGATTTGCTGGTACTCGACGGTGTAGTCGGCGAGAGAACGTTGGGCGTCTTGGAGCCCATGTTTGGGACTAACTTCGACATTGGGGAGAGTACTGGCGTTGTTGGTGATAAAGGTGACTTGACAGAGAAGTTTGATGTCAAGGATTTGTTCGACGTGGCGCTCTGCGGACTTAGCAGAGAGGTATTCGGATCCGATGGAGTGTTCTGAAAAGGAAAAAAAGAAAAAGAAAGAAATAAAGAATCAGTGACATGGAAGATGTTTTAAGAAAGAACCTGATCCTGATTGACCTAACTCTGTTATCCACAATTCACAGAATTTACAACTAATGTTATTTAATTATAACGCAAATTTATATTTAACGAATACGTATGTCAATTTAAATTCATACTAATTTAATGATACATACTTATTTTCAAAATAAAATGGATAGATAATTTTAAAGTGGTTTTGTAATTGGTTGATAATTCATTGAATTTTAAAATTACTTTATAGAATGAGGGAAATATTATTCACTCTTAATACAAGGGTAATTGTAAGGAGAAAAATATTACTATAAATTTAAAAATATAATACTATAAATTTATACAAAGGATAAAGGACATTTCTCTAAATTAACTGTAACACAATATTGATACATAATATTATTTAGAAATACGATATAATTATAAATATTAGATACATCTCTAAATATTTTCCAACATCTCTCTACTTTAACCCCCAATTCTTCCAATTTGTTCCTAAACAATCACCTGCGAACTCCCAACGTCGCTGATGTGATTCACGTTCAATGTCACGGTGGCAGTGACGTTGAAATTATTCTGACTCAGTCCAATTCCAGGTTTTGCCCATCTCGGAGGTGGCGGGGGCGGTGTCTTTACGTTCTGCCCCGTGGTATGAGTCTCTGTTATGATATTCCTGATCTCGGGTAGCACAGGCGACGTTGTACAAGAGAGATTGTTAAACGTCGACACGTTCTGATGGAAATTCGTCATGGAAGTGCTGACAGAGGAGAATCTAGTCCTGGATAACTCGATCACCGTTGATTTCGAGGTCTCTGCCGTGGTCTTCGACTCGAATCTGACTTTCGTGTCCTGAACTGGACTCAGAACGTTACTCTCCACGTTGTGCACCACGGGCGAAGGGCAACGAACGCTTTGAACCAAGTTGGGGGAAATCAGTTTTTGGGACAGCTTGTCGCTCGGTGAGGTTTTCTCTTTCTTCAGGTCCAGAGGCTCGTTGAAGGTTGTCAGATTCAAGGTGTTGGGCGGCGTTGGCCGTGGTTGTCGAGGCAGCGACGACGCAAACGTCGTCGTCGTCGTCAAGGCGCCCGTAGGCGACGAGCTTCCTGCACACGAAAATAAAACGACGAACGATTATTTTTAGGCGTGTGGACAGTTTTTATTTTCGTTTGTTGGATATCTGGTCGTTGGAGATTCATTGGGTGCAAGGTGAAAGGAAAATTATGGCTGCTGGAGGATCAAACGTGATTGAGATTGTGATATATCTTGGTTTTGGTATTTAGTTGCTACATATCCGGCAAGGGGGAAGGAAAATTATGGCTGTTGGAGGATCATACGTGATTGAGATTGTGATATATCTTGATTTCGGTGTTTAGTTGCGGCTATGTATCCGACGTAGTATTGTAAAATAATTTTTTTACTGTTTTGTATTGATATCGTGATTGTTTTTGTATACGCTGATAAAAATGAGAGATTACAATTAAAAGAATTATAGGCAGCAACTGAGATTGTTATATTCCTTGGTTCTGGTATTTAATTTTCCTTCAAGCTGTGAAATTTTTTTTTTTACTGTCGTATGCTAATGTCGCAGTTGTTTTTAATATAGTGATATAAATGAAAGGTTATTATCAGATTGCGGATGTTTAAGATTCCGATGCATATAGTATGTGAAAAAAATACATGAAATATTCAACGTCAAATTATTGTTGTGATATTTGATAGATAAAGTGAATTTTTATTCAGATTTTATTTCTTTAATTATATTCATAAAAATATAAAATTGCACAAACATCCACAGCCTGGTTATTATTAGAAGAAGCTTTCAATTCGATAATCAATTTGTTACTCACGAGTAACGTGCGACGAGATGGGCGCCAAATTTAATACGATACTCTCTGTCGTCGGTGTATGAATATTGTTATTGTTGTTATTCAAGTTATTGTTACCTGAAACAAACAATACCAATATAATGAGAACGAACAGAGTAGAATTTCGCTTATATAAGCTCATTGGGGGATAATTAGTTTATATTGTCTGACTATAATCTTTTTCTTCATATAATAGAAGGTCAGATAGGTCAGATTCAACCAACAGGAATTCATTCAATCAGGCACTACTCAAAATTTCAATCAATACAAATTGAGTGCATTTTACTGCATTTAAAACGACGAAATATTTTTGCGAATTTTTAATATATCCACAATTTGATTAACCACTTGACTTCTACAATTATTTCATTTGTTTGTTTCATTAATTCATTTTTTTGATTAATTACTTTATTTACATGTACTCATATTTTTTCTTGCATATTAGCGACAAAAGTCTATCTGCCAAATTTCAGATATCTAAGGAAAGGATTCGAAACATTTATTTATCTATTTATTTATTAAATTGACACAGTTGAAACTCCACTTTAATTCAAAAATGAAATGAAAGAAATCTATGAAAAATATTTTTTTCAAAAAACTTACCACCCCGGAAACTGCTCAAGCTAGACGTGTTGCTGCTGCTGCTCTCCGGCGGTTTAGGATTTGCCATCGGGTATCTCCAGAATTCCTGACCCAGAAGAGCTAAGGAAGAGAGCTGTTGCCTATTCTTGGCATCGCGCATCGCCCTTGGCAGTGTCAATTGGACTGGCAATTCATCACTTTGTTCCAAACCAAAAGAGAAACAGATAAATCAAAGGGAATTAGCGATCGAGAGACTCGTTCAAAGCTAATCGAGCCGGTAGTATAACCAATTCGTTAACCATACAATGGAGCCAAAGAGAACTCCTTGATATAATTGAGATACTTGAAAATACGTTCTAGTTGACCCATTAATTGACAATTCTTTTTTTCTTCTTTTACTCCAATTCTTTCAATTTCAATAGAGTCATACAGTGAGGAACATGACTGAAACAATAACGATGAAAAATTGTCGATAATTTAAACTGTTGTAACTTCATAAAAAAAAGTCCAATTGATCTCGTTTTAAAGCGTGGAGTAGGAAAGTAAGGACACTTGTTCTCGAAAATTGTAAAGTTCAAATATCTCTAAGAACATTGAAAATTTTCTTTTCTCTAATCTGTTATCAATATGAAGATTAAAGTCTACGTAGTAATTAATTAATTTTGAGTTTACCCAGTTCATCAATATATAATCAATATATATATTATTAATTAACGAACATAGTATTTTTTAATTTATCAATATTTCTCTGCCGTAACAATTCTTCATCTTCGTTCTCAGATTTCTATTAATAAATTTCTATAAACCAATTAATTTCTGAATTAATTAAGTTTCTAATCCATAGCGTAGAATTAATGTAGCTCAAACGTCTGTTAAATAGGATCGAAAAGGGGGATTATATCGACGATTAGCCATCGTCAAGTGTACGTATAGAGTCGGTGGCGATCGGTAACGTTGCATAATTTATCGAATTCCTCGTGTATGCGAGCCCGGGCGAGACCTGATCCAGCGAGGTGAAAGTCGCAGTCGGATCGTGTTCGGAGATAATTTAGGAGGCTAATGGCCAGCTCTGGAAAGCCAGCTACTAGCTTGATGTGAAGCCCGATTTTCATGATAATCGGCGAGACGCGACGATTTTTCTTTTTAATGATCTCGATTAATGATTCATTGGCCTTTCAGTTGTTTGGCCTCCTGCCGTTTCTCCGATACGATTCGATTAACGCAGTTATATCAATATCGAGTCTTGCCTAATTTTTTCTTGGTTTCTTTTTCTCTTCAAATATGGCGCAGTGATCAGAGGATGGGAATAACGTTTCGAGAGCGATACGCGGGTATAATAACGGTTATTAGCCGTTGATTGCCCAATTTGCATTCGCGAGGCTGAATTAATTGCTAGATTATGGTCGTTTAGAAAATACAACCGGGAGCCTGGTAGCGATCCCGAAGCTTTCGAGTGGACGTAATCGTTGTGAAATTACACTTATCTGTCTGTGTTTTAGACCGATTTATTGCGTTTAACGGCTCAGTTGGTACGAGAGTTTCATGCTGCTTTGAGATCCTTGCAAATTTAATTAAATTTGCGTATTCATTAGTAACAATTGAAGTGCATTCTGTGTATTCATGTGGATGTATGAACATCTGTGTTAAACGAATTCGCGAATTTTATTTCAGTCGGCTCAGAATAAATAATGGAACGTATGACAATTTGTAATGGACATAAATAATATATCAAGTTGATATATACGAACTGTCATTTTTCAAATATAACTTTGATACATTTAGTCACTTCTACACGATTCAATGTACTTTTCTAACAAACAAATTTCAAAGTATAGGAACTATCAATTTGGGAAGTCAAGAATTTTTAGAAGGGAATTGCCTTAAAATATTATCTAGATTAAATGGACACTTATCCCAGATATAAATTCCAAAAATTCTGATCATTCGTGATGATCAAGCTTCGATATTTTTATAACAAATCTTTCTAACAGAAAATATATATTACAGCAAAATTTCTTCTTGCTTAATTCGGTTACTAATTGAAAATTGATAAATTTTGATGAGAAGCGATGTTTCATATACATCAACCTAATATTTCGGAATAGATCATCAATAAAAAAAAATATATACAGGTGTAATTGCTTATATAACTGACTATACACGTTTCGAAAGTTTTAACGACAAAGAAAACATCTAAAAAAAAAAAAAAAAAAAAAAAAAAATGGAAGAACCACCTGCCGGAATTTAAAAGAAAATTCTCTTCGGAAGATCAAACGAGTCGGTTAAGTCAACATTCGCAGGAGATGAAGAAGGAACTCGCGGCAAATAAATGGCGGGGAAGGAAGTTGCGATAGCGGAGGTAGTCGAGAACTAGATGGTATCCGGTCGAGTGGAAGGCGAACGTGAAGAGAGGCCACTCACCAACACTGACAATAGTGGGCGATCAGCGAGGGGATGTTGTCGAACCTGTTCTCGCTGGTCTCCAAGCTCAACTTCCCCTTGTTGGCTTGAATCAGGTAGTGCTCGATGTACGGCCCCTTTCCTGGTGGTAACCGCACAGATAGGGCCATCGTGTCGCTCTGGCTTGATTGCCGGACCACGAAGTTCTGCAAATGCCAAGAGGAAATCACAAAAGGTGCAAGGTGGATTCGACGATTTGGATAAATTCGAAAAATTTGGCGTGATTTCTTTCTTTTTTCTTTTTTTTTTTTTTTTTATGTCAAACTACGTGATTATTTATACGAAATTATTACAAATTATTATATGTAGATGTATATTATTTTTGTTTTTTTAGTTACTTTATTATTAACCCCTTGCACACTGGCAACTGGTTTGCGGACCATAACGAGTGACCGTATATACAGTAATTTGTCGCTCTCTTTTTCTTTTGAACTCGTCGGTACGATATCACTGGACAGAAATTATTAAAAGGTAATAAACTTATCATTTGTTTTGTCTAGGCTACGTTTAAATATGTATACTTAAAACTGAGAAAATGTTGCAAAAAATTCTCGACGTGCAAGAGGTTAATTTTATTAATTCTCTCAGTTTCTGGTTATTTTTCAGGCAGAACCGCACACGTTGCATAATTCCCCGGCATTTCCAGCCGGAAGTCCAGCGTCCAGCGTCGATAGAACGTCGAGAGCAAAGGAAGACAAAGCTTCGCCAAAGAAGAAAGGCAGGAAGAGCTTCTCTTTATCCTCTCTCTGAGCATTTTCATTTAAGCAAAAAACCTCCTGACAGAGGCAGAGTTTGTTTTAATCTTTGCATCGGTGTTCCTCTCTCTCTTCGTTCCTTCCCAAGGGAAATGAAAATTAGACGTTTCACTTCTTGACAACAGCACGGGTCTTGAATATTTTCGACTTTCGACGAAAGCCTCGGATTCTTCTTTCAATCTCCTCTCAACTTTCATCGAGGTAAATTTTCCAGCTTCTCGATCATCTCGACGATAAAGCCTCAAGCTTTAAAAAAAAAAATCTCGTTCTGTATCTTCGATTTATTTTTTCGCGCAAAGATAAATCACCCTTCAGTGGAACACCATGTGTACGTTACTCATCCACTCGACAGTTGTTGCGTATCCATCCGCGTATCGACGCCAGTCGTGATAATTTCAACTGGAATCCTCCCCTCCTTTTCGTATCGTTTCGCGCAATCACGATCCGTGTTTCAACGCGCCGTTGGGAGGGAAGGCGCGGGGGTGGTGTCTCGTCTATGGAGAAGTAATTGCGAGCCGCATTGTTTTTCGGTCGTGTGCAATTCGCTGGCGGCCGCGGGGGTAGCCGGGGGACGATTAACAAAGCTAGAAAACAATGAGCCAGCGGGAAAACAATGCTGCCACAATGGCACGGCTCGTTCGCTGCCGTTCCACCCCCGCTGATTATACCGTTGAGCGCCGAACCCCCGCTATCCGGCGAAAAAAAATACCGCTAGACTGCAGGAGGAAACTACCAGATAGCGGCTGGATGCTGGAGCCATGTCTTTCACGACATGGAAACATCGATTCCGAGCGGTTCTCGCGGAGAGAACTGCTGTTAGGGGGAAGGGATGGCTATTCAGTGTCATCTGATTTTTCGAGTTCTCTCTTTTGTCTTTTCTTTTAGAAATTTCAATTCTACAATTGTTTGTGTTAGTTTAGAATTGGTGGAATTGGAAACTTCGTCGATTTACATTTTTCTTTTCTTTTTTAAGACCTGTGATAAATAGTTTTTTGTTTACGAACTCGAAAGAATTGTTAGGAGTAAAAATAGAATGCTATTATAAATATTATATATAATATTATAAATAATATAATAAATTTGTAAAATACAAGGAATTTTCGTTCATTGCTCTTGTTTACGTCTCTTTTTTTTTCTATGGTGGATCTGTGACTATTTCGATGAATTGGTTTATTTTGTAGTATAAGTAGCAGAGGAAGAGTGAAAATTACTAGTAGAAACCATAAATATCTACTTACTTTTATTGTCAATCAATTTTTACACAACAGAGAACAATTTTTTCCTACAAAATCTTCATTTCTTAGTTCCTTCCACAAAAATGTCCATCGATAAATAAATAAATTACAAAGTAGATACTTTGTAACAACATTAGAAAGTACTTCTATCATCGACATAGGCTACAAAGAAAAATCCCTCGCATAAAATCTCCACCTAAAACGCAGACCCTGATAGAAAATGTCCTCCGAAAGGAATTAATTCAATATCTGAACCATCAGATAACATTACCAGCGACAAAAGAGAATGTCGACGCAGAAAGAAGTTCTCATATTCTCGATACAAGTTCGTCGTGCTCAAAGCGAGGCGGTAAATTAATTAAATTCAACGGTTCACGGAACTTTCTCCGACAGGGAGCACACACATACCACGCCGGAGAGCCAATCGATCCCACGTTGAAAGAGACGCCTCGACCCGGTCTCGATTCGAGTTTTCCTCGTCGCGATCCTTATCACCGTACGAGTCATTACTCCATCTTGACCCGAGCCTTAATTTCTTTTTTCCACGAGCTATCTATCTTATTCTCGATCTCGTTTCTTTCGAGCGTAAGTAAGGCTTGTACTTATACGAAAGGCTTGACCCTGCTTCCATACACGGTTCTATCACCGAGGACGGAAACCTCGTTTCCATCTCGATACAATTCCAAGAGGATCTTGACCTCGCTGCTTCTTTTATTATTATTTAGTCTGGAACTCCCAGTTCTCGAGTGAGTCCTTTCGGTACGTCTTGACACGGTCTCCGAGATAATTTGAAAGTTATTACCCGGTGGATATCAGGGTGAGGAACCTCTGTTCACTTTCCAAGGTAAGAGGTAATTTCGTTGGGAAAATGGAGGTCGAAGAGATTGGTGCAGGTTGTTGAAATTGTAGAAGAAATACGAGATGACCTTTTTAAAGTAAAAATTCAATTTACATTTTTCCTTTTTTCTTTTTTCTCTTCGTTGCAGAAATAAGAAGTAGATCTAGTCTAGTCTCAATTTAATAATTTATCTCAGTAATATATAAAAAAGTTAATTCTACTGTCTTTATAATTAATAATATTAATTCCATAGAAAAATTGTCACAAATTCTAATAAATATCAATATTTAAAAACTTTTGGAGTGAATCCCTCAATTCAATGTAATATATACCTGCCCTAATAAAAATTTTCATAATTCTACAAAATTATCACTGCTTTCCATGTCTCTCTAACTAATAAAATATTATAATAAAAAAAAATCGTCAAGAATCCTAACAAATATCAATAATAATATTTATAAAACTCTCCATCAAGAATAGAACTATTTTATTTATTAAGATTCAGAATTGAAATTCTACAAAATATCTAAAAAACTCTAAATTATTTTAACGTCTCTACTAATTAACGTATGAACAGAATAATTCTATTCTAATAATAATCAATAACACACTCCCTAAAAAGAATCTATCATTATTTCAATGAAATAAAATTATCTACCCGAACGGATAAAAATTCCAAAATTGTTACATCACCTAAACAAATTCGAAATCACTGTGGCGAGGCATTGACACGATTTTCCATCCGATTTCCCTGACTTCCATTCTCCCTGGCGAATCAGATAAGATTCGTACACGGCTCGTCGCGATTGTTCTCCAACAGGCAAGAGAGTCGTGGAAACAACGCTGTTTGTCGTGAAGCGGATTGTGTAGATGGAGAAGTTTGATCGGTTCTTATCTAACACAACCGGAAGGACCGTGGTCCAGCTGGCTGCGGCCTCTGATAAAAAACTGTGTCGACGTTACGTATACACGCAAACGATGTTACTCCAACGTTGTTTTGTTCAACGTTGCCGCAACATGTAAATATTTAATAGACTACAAAAATATAGAGACATTGGTAAGAATATGAAAAATATATATAATAACTAGATCAACGCTGTATCTTTTATATTTTATGCGTGGTTGTACAATAAAACACTTCAAATTTCGTATTAATGTTCGTATTAATGTGTAAAAATTCGCGGTCTAATATAAATAAACATATTGTTCTCACATTTATTCAAATCTCATCTCTTAACCGCTTGCCACGCACGTCGAGAATGTTTTGTTCCAAAATTGTAATATTTTCTCAGTTTTAAGTATTATTAATATTACTGTAATATTATTATTAATATTACTGTATTAGTATTATTAATATTTTCTCAGTTTTAAGTATTATTAATATTACTGTAATATTATTGTTAATATTACTGTATTAGTATTATTAATATTTTCTCAGTTTTAAGTATTATTATTATTACTGTATTAGTATTATTAATATTACTGTAATATTTTCTCAGTTTTAAGTACATTTATAAACAAAATAGGCAAAACAAATAATTAATTTATTACTTCTGTAATATTTTCTCAGTTTTAAGTATATTACTGTAATATTATTATTAATCTTACTGTATTAGTATTATTAATATTACTGTAATATTTTCTCAGTTTTAAGTATATTTATAAAAAAAAAATAGGCAAAACAAATAATAAATTTATTACTTCTCAATCATTTCTATCCAGTGATGTCATACCGATAGAGTTCAAAAAGAAAGCGACGAATTATTCTATACGGTTCGGTCACTCGTTATGGTCCGCAATCAGTTGCCAGCGCACGTGGTTAATCTCATGTTCTCCAAATTATCAGACCACTAAATCGTCATTCCCATCATCCTCATCTAGTCAAATACCAATTCACCGATTCGTTCGTGCAACAAAACACACGCGGGGGTGTAATTAGCAAGTTCTTTACGACGTAACAAGGACACCTCGCCAGATCAGCCGCGGCCAAAGTGTCTGCGAACCATTTGGCAAAGAACGCCGCGTTGCAGCCGGCGGCTTAATATGCGGTAAATGCAAACGGCAGACGTTGCCCCGACGAAATACGACCGCCTAAGCTCCCCTGGCAACGTTCCAACCCGTGGCCTGCCAGAAAATACGCATAACAAGTGGCATTGTTAGCGTGCTTGCTCTCACGAAGGATTTTACCACCAGTTTTGCTCATTCTCTTCTTCTTTTTGATTTTTTTTTTTTTTTTTTGGTCGATTTGAGCGTTCGTTAGCAAGCGGGACAAGCACTTGTCACGATTCGCGTGACCAAGTAGCTGATCTTTTCGAGCGTTGTATATTAGATTATACCAGGGCTAGGTCGAACAGACGAATAGGATGAATAGAAACACGCTTGTGTTTAGTGACCTCCTGAACTAGTTGCGACGTTTATTCGAGCAGCAAATTTTTAACTCTTTGTAACGCTAAGGTTCGAACAAACATTTCAACCCTTAAGTGGTATCTTATTGCTCCATTGAAAAGATTTAAATCGTTCAATTTTGTTTTGTATGTTATATTTTTTTTCTGAGAGATTCGCAATGAAATTAAATCAAATCTAGAGTTCGAAAATTGAGCAAATCTTTTGTAGCTGGAACGTCCAGCGACAGAGGGTTAAATACGATATTATAGTTTAGTGAAGATTGAAAATTTAATGACAATGCGCGTATTATGTTTTTAATATAAGTTGTAGTAAAATTAGTGATTGAAAATACACGTCTATTTAAAATTATATAAAGGATTTAGGAAACAACAAGGAAATTGTGATACAGCCTTCGCGGTCGTCAAGTTTGAATCCACTTGACAAATCATTGGAGGAGTTTGGTGGAAGAATAAGAAAAACTCGTGGTCAAATAAGAAATGCTCGTGATCAAAGAATTTGGAAGAAATCTCAGCAAAAAAATCGTCGGAAATATTAAAAAAAAAAAAAAAAATTAATAGGAAGAACATAGGAATTAAATTACTTTTTAATAAAACCTAACTCCAATTTAACCTAAGCTTGAATTAAAAAAAGAACAAATTAAAAACTCCAAAGAGAAACAACTTGGCGCCGGCATTAAAAAGAATTAATAGTGAATCGACCCTCATCGAAAATATTCCAAATTCTCGCATAAATCACCCTTCTCTGCACAAAGCGGCCCAAGTTGCGCATACCTTAATTTAAATTCCCTCGATCTTTCTCCGCGGAGCGTTTTCCATTATCAAATATCTTCCAAAGGAGAAAAAATAAAAAAAAAGAAAAAAAAATGAAGAGCTGTTATTAAGCGTTATAGATCATCAACGTACCCGAGCAACGTTAAAGCGAGAAAATACTCCGGAATAAATTCTCCTGGCAAATAAAACAGATCCTAGGCCGGCCATTCATTCTCACCGGCGAAACAATACACGACGACGGAGAATATTCGCGGAATCAGCCGCCGATCAAAGCGTTGGAAAAGCCTGCGGGGCCGATGGGGTAGTTTCCCTCCTCCCGTCTGGTGAAAAATGCTGGTCAAACAATCGCTCGCTCGTGATATTTCATACTCTTTGTTTCGTCGTTTGCTTGATTTAACTCCCCCGTTCCCGTAGCTACTTGAATAGTTCCTTTCGTTTTCGTTGTGTTCGCGCGTGCAATTGTTTCCCGGTTAGTTCTTGGCGCATAAATCTATCAGCAATGACACGAGTTGTAAATTCACTTGGTTGTAAATGTAAGTTCGTCATGGGGACGGGATGAACGCACGGTGGGCGCGCAGACTTGGAAATATTGGACCAGAGGGGGTGGTTTCGAAGAAGGAAGAAGATTAAACTCAATATTAAGATTAAATTGTTGGGTCTCTTTAGAAGCTTGCTCGTGAACCTTTAACGTTCGATCGCTGTATTGTTAGAACCATTTCTGAGTGGAGAACGGTTTCAGATTATTAATCTTTATCTCTCAGACTTATTTTTTATTAATCTTCTATTATGTTTTTATTTAATTTCATCGAATTAATGTTGAATTTAATAATTCAATTCGATTATAGAAATTTAAATTCGAACACACACATTTGTATCTCAACAAGGATTTTTAAATCTAAGTCTAAATCTTTATACGTAAGTTCCCCAAGTAATCTTCCCAAGTTCGAATTTCAGCATGAATTTTCCAATTTGAAGCTAAATTTAATTTGAAATTTTAAATTTGAATTTAAGTCTGAATTTTTTTCAATTTGAATTTGAATTTTTCAACATGAATTTCCTACGTTTACTTCATATAGAGGTTTTCCATGTAATATAATTATGTATAATATACATAATATATATAATACATAATTATGTATAACATACATAATATACATACAAAGTATAGTGAAACAGGAGATAAGTATAAAGAACAGAATGTTCTTCATAAAAATTTTGACTTTCGATATTCGTTTATCTCGAATTCCCCTACGGAACATAGAAATCAACGAAAGTTTCAACAAAATCTCCACGACTGATCGATCAAACGTACCGAAAACAAGCAAACTCAACAGGAGAAACTGGGCACGATAATGAGATACTTTTTTTCTTTTTTTTTTTATCAAGGAAACAGCTTTCCGGCGAGAGAGCGATAAGTAAGATTCTCTCGCATCGGGAAGTTTAAGAGGTCGGTGTAGGAGTACTCGAGAATTTTCCACAACGATACGCTTTTAACCTCTCTCTAAACCCCCCCCCCCCCCCCCCCCCATTGGAAACTTACTTCCTGCTCGGTCAACACAAGACAGACAGAGAGGAAAAGAGGAGAAAGGTGCAAAGGGAGGAAGAAAGTAGGCTTTGCCCAGCTTGCAATTTTCCTACGCCTAATCGATTCGTTTAAGTGCACTCACCCCTTCTTCTTTGCCTTGCAACAAGTGGAAAGCACCGGCTCTTTGAATGCCAGGTAGGAACCAGATCGGATGCGAGCGTATAAGTCTCTCGATCAGGGTGATGTCACACGCGATCTCGCTGCCGGAATCTTGCGTCGAACTGGAGGATCCACCGGATGTGGCCGACCCTCTGGAGGACAGCGACTCCTCGCTCTGAAACACAACGTTTCGATTAATTAACACGATCACTCAAATATATCCGAAAGAGAAATAAAGATTTTAAATATTTCGTAGTGAATTTATTTCTCGATTAAAGATTTATTCATCAATTAAAATTGTGCAGATCCTGAAAATGCACACGACGATGTTATATTTGTTTGCTGGGTAACACTACAAATATAAATTGATACTGCTTTCGTTCACTGTTATTAATAATAATATAATTGCTTTAACAACAATCGAAATGTATCGAATTTAGATCACGGCCAAAATGTTACAAATCTAGTCTGTACATATGTATTAAATCATCAACTTTGATATCAATCAAAAAAATATCGAATCTAGTTAGTCGAAATGTAATACTTTATTACGATATTATTTTATGAAATTGTAGAGTCCGAGTAAAAGATAGTAGAAGAAAATTAAACGCATTGAAACGAATTCTTCCAATTTCAAGAGACTGAATTTTATAATGTAATCCGATCGACTGAAGAGAACTCTAAATAAAACCACTTGCGCTGGCAACTGATTGCGAACCATAACGAGTGACCAGGCCATATACAATAATTCGTCCCTTTCTTTTTGAACTCGTCAGTGTGATATGATATCACTGGATAGAAATTATTGAGAAGTAATAAATTTATTACTTGCTTTACCTGGGTTATACTTAAAATATATACTTAAAAACTGAGAAAATATTGCCATTTTAGGATAAAAAATTCTTCGCGCGTCATTCGAGCGCAAGAGGTTAATCTCTTTTTCATTCAACGATCTAACACTAAAACTACCTGACTATCAGAACTGTTCCAAAAAAGGACAAAAAGAAAGAAGCGTGTGCCTAACGAAAGAAAAAAATCGGAGAAAAATTGGAGGAATAATGAAACAACGGGGAAGAAATAAACGTTGGGCCGAGCGCCCGGCTGCAAATTGAGATAACCGATGAACTCGTTCGTTACTCTCGTGCCGCGTGGCGACGGTATAATGCCGCATTAAAGTGTATTGTATGACGATCAGGTAGGATTTAGACCCTCGGAATTGCGGCTTAAGGGCCAGAGATTTCCATATTCGCGGCGTCGCGCCGCTCGCCAGCCGGATCGTGACTTTGTCCACTCTTGTTCTTCGTGTTCGTGTTGGAATTGGTCGGCGCAAGGTTTTATCACGGTCGAAAGGAACCGTGGGGGATCGAGATTAAGCAATGAAGCGGAATTAATGGGGTGAAACGCCGTTGGTCAGACGTTCGGGAAATTATACCGCGCATGGTTTATGAACGAATTTGTATATACAGACAGTTGATATTACACTCAGGTTCATGATCACTTAACCTCTTGCGCTGGAATGACGTGCCACGAACGTAGAGAACTTTTGGTCCCAAAGCTGTAATAATTTCTCAGTTTTAAGTATATTTAAGTAAAACAAAATAGGCAAAATAATAAATTTATTACTTCTCAATAATTTCTATCCAGTGATATCGTGCCGACGAGTTCAAAAATAAAGCGACGAATTATTGTATACGGTTTGGTCACTCGTTATGGTCCGCAATCAGTTGTCAGCGCAAGTGGTTAAATAAGCAAGAGTCGGAAGAAATATTACATAATTTGCGAGAACGATCCCGCGTTGTGTGTAATTACAAAATTTGTTGGAAGAATGAAAGAAAGATATTGTTCATTGCTTTTGCAATATTATCTTGATGGATAAATATGGAGTTTCCTTGCTTGTCGATGTTCATTTTTATATTATCTTCGAGCTTTTACACCCTCAAAAAAGAATGTTTTCGTACGAGTATGTATTTCTTCTTGATATTGCTTTCGTCTTCACGTGCAATATTTGATATCTGATTGTAATTAAACATATTAATCAACTCTTGATAACTTTCGTTTAATAAACCGAAAGAAAATCTATGCAATCGTGGTAAAAAACGAAGATCAACTAATATCGACACGTAAATATTTAATACTATACTTAGTATAACAAAAAAGTATCACTGTATTGCGGATAATTATTATTCACAATTATATTAACATAATTTTACTATCATCGTTAGACTAATATGTCGCACACTGAAGTTTAGAATATTTCAGATTAATTTTTAATTTCCCAACTAAAGAATTCTCGAATCAAAAGATAACTAACAAATTGATCAGTTAACGGGTTAAAAGACCTAAAAAAAAGTAGACCCATGAATTTCAGTTTCCTAATGATCTGAATCGGGATACGCGCACCCCATATTGCAACTCATAAATAATCACTAAACGATACTCGAATGTTAAACGATCGCAATCACGCCAGCTCGTGTCATAATAAATCAAGGCGGGCGTCGATTAAACTTCTCCCACCTCTGGCCGAACTCTATCGCCTCGTATAATCCCACGATCCCTCTAAATACCCCGCAAAAAGTGTAAAAGGGTCGCGAACCCAAAGCGTAGTCAGTTTCATTTCCACTGACGCGAATTGGACGTTTGACGAATTGTTGGGAAATGTTGGAAAGATAAGTTCGAGGATTGTAAGGATCGAATTCGATCGGTCAGCATCGATCAAAGCGTCTTTTCAAGCGAAACGACATTACATTTGAATTATATTGGGAATTAAATATATACCTTTGGAACTGGATTTGATAGAATTTTCGTAACTTTCTTATTCTTAGTGAGATGAGAAACGAAATATTTATTGCTTCGCAAATCGACATTAATAATATTTATTAAGATTGCTGTTCTTACTGAAATTAACATAAATTTCTCATTATTATAATATTGTAACTTCTGTATGTTATATTTTCGGATTTTGATTCAAATTTATATTGTTTATCTGAGGAATTAATATAAAAATGCACAAAAGCCTATTCACTGTAGTGCTAATGAAATTTGAAAAAAATTTCGTGTGACATGTATAATATATACACAAAAATGTTCATATAATTTTGAAAGCTACTGTAACTACAATATATTTTATATCGATTAAATGTATTTATATTTATTTTCTAAGTTAATAAGTTACGAGAATATTTATGTACATACTTAAAACTAATATTTTAAGTGTAAATTAAAATATTGTGAATTATTACAAATATTCGGTTCGAAAGACTCTAAATGCAATACTAAAAATGTGCAGCAATTAAAAAATTTCACATTTCGTATTTACTAATATTTACAGAAATTGATTTACTTTACTTATTGCTGTAATCAGAAAAATTGGTACAGAAGCACGTTTCGTTGAAACGACAGTAATTTAACCGAGTATTTCTGCTACAATTTTCCAACAAGAGGCTTTTATATTTGAGTGCGAAGGTCTTGCTCCAGTTTGGCTTCGTTTGCGAAAAGGGTCCAACGCTATAATACTTCAGAATTGCCTTCGTTACTAGCGATTTACGATTCTACCGATACATGTTTCGTTTAAGAATAGTTTCTCAAACGAAATCAATTTAAGCACACTCACTTTTGTTTACATATTTTTATATTTTCAGAGAAAAATTTCTTGTTTTCTATCATATTATTATATATCTGTCAATGGAACAAAATTCGATGAAAGTTTTATACTAAAACGCGAAATTATTACATTTACAGAATAATTTGCTACTTTGAAAACTGCATACGAAGAAAATTACATCCTTCTTTGTATCATTTTACTAACTAAAAAAAAAAAAAAAAAAGAACAAAGTTAATAAAATTTCAAAATAAAATTTAACAAATTTAATGATAAAATATTCGACGACAAGAATAACAAAATATTCACGCTTCAATTCAAAGCATCACGAACACCAAATTAAATTTTATCACTCACTGTCAGAGCTTCAATCAGAACGTGTTTCGAAATTAATAATAAAACAAAAAAAAAAAGGGTAGCGAGAAACAATTCGACAAGGCGTTTCCGAAACCGACACGTCGCGAACATCCATCATCTCCCAATTTTATTTTTCGCGCAACCCTGTTTCTTTTTTTCACCGCGGGGGTTGGAACGAGGACACGGCGGGGGGGCTCGAGGAGAATTCGCGAAAGGGGTTCGCCGCGTGCAGGAGTTTCAAGTGTAATTTAATTTGAAATGCAGACTGACGCACAACGGCGTTTCAGGTTAAACGGATTAAACGAGGACGTGCGACGCGTGCCGAACACCCTCGCAGCTAATTGCGAATCCCTTAATTGCAGGCCGCCGAAAGTATTCCGCAGTCGTTGCAATTTACCGATCAGCCAATGCCTCCGTCATTTTGTACATCGTCCCGTCGACGAAATCTCGTTACGAAATGCTAATTCAACGTGATAGTCTCCTTCGACACTGATAAAATTAATCTTCTTTTCAAAAATTTTACAGATCCAAAACAGATTTGAGGGATTTCTCGTAAAATTAAAATTTCTTTTTTTTTTTTCTTACTTTGACGATTGGATGGAAATTTTATGCTTCAATCTCGGTTTAATTAATATAATTATGATTAAATTATTAATTAAATTAATATGTAATTTATTTATATTAAAAATAAATATATATATATATAATAAAATTAATAAAAAATTCTATATAATTTAGTGAAAATTAAATAGGGAAACTAAAATTAATAATGATAAATTAAAGCGGTTAAACTTATATTATAAGTTAATAATTTATAAATTTTATTATAGTAAAAATAATTGTTATATTAAATTTATTAATTTTAGGCGAAATTTAAATCAATACACATAGTATAAATTTTTATATTAAAATATATTAAAATTGAATAATAAACTAGGATTAGATACCGTATTATATCAATTTAAGAATAAAATTTTTATAATTAAATGTTGAATCACTAAAATAAAGTAATGTGGCGGCCTTTTAATCTTCCTTAAGGAAATTTGTTATTTAATTTGATAATCCACGATAGGATATACTTAAATTACATTTGTGTGTCGTTATTAAAATTTATAAATAAGAATTAATTACAAATTTTATAAAATAATATTTTAAACAAAAA